TGCGTGCGTGGCGTTATCACAGAGGAAATCGATGCCTGGCACTGGCCCAGCGTTTAAGGGAAATGAATAGATTCTGGCCGAGGACAAAGAGAGTTTGATTAATCAGAAATTGGATAATGGAGGCAACACTCTAATTATTTTTCTTCCCAGCATTTTATCGAGAAATATGTTTGCACAGCATATCAGAGGTGAGGGGAGTGATCGTGCTGGAGGAAAGTCTAGATTGGGGACAGAGCCGCCATATCCACATGCGCTGATGGGGCTGGATGAGAGACAGGCAGGCTGGCCAGGGTCCTGGTGGTCACCCCATGGAGCCACAGGAAGCAAGAGGGGACAGGCGGGGCAGGCCAGAGGCCACACACAGCTAGGGCATCTGGGGTCACAGAAGATGAGCCACGCTGGGTGGGCAGGGGGAAGGGGGCAGTGAGGGCCAGGGCCTCAGTCAACACAGGGGTGGCCGACCTCGGAGAAAGGTCCCTCACGTGGAGACTGCCCCTTCCCTGGCCTGGACACCTCCTTGTCACCCTGCCCTGCTCACAGCCTCGCTGGCACAGTGGCCGGGGGGCGTAGGGGTGGGGCGCCACCGGCTCAGGTCACCAGCGCCTGCTCAAGCCAGGGTGAAGGCTGTAGGGGTCAAGTCCTCCAACCCTTGGTCAAGGAGGGACTTCAAGGGCCCCTGGCAGCATGAAGCGCGTTCCCATCGCTCACCCCCGGTGAAGCCTGGTGAGCCGCTCCACGGCCCAGGTCAAACGGGACTGCTGGGTGCCCGCAGGACCCAGAGCCTGGGACTCACATGCCATGGCCCTCCCTGGTCACGCACCCCCTCTTCCCAGGCGTCCCCACTCCTACAACACGTCGAGCTGGAACTACATGGTTTAGCGTGTTTCTGTGGCTACCTGGCCTCCCAATTCCAGGCAGGCTTCTCGGGCTCTATGGCAGAGCGGAGCTCAGCACCAGGGAAGCTCTCTCAACTGCTTATTCATTCGTTCGGAGCAGAGAGAAACGCTGCCTCAGAAGAGACTCCACAGTGACCCGAGCTGCCCGTCAGACTCAGGACACCAACTGGGAAGCACAGGAGGGGTCAGGATCAGGGTCCAGGAAGAAGGGGTGGGTGAGGAGAGAAGAAGGATGAGCTGAAGCTGCTGAGCAAGAGTGAGGGCATGGTGGGTGGGGCTGGTCAGCCCCTGGAAGGACGTCTAAGTCCTGCCTCCTCTCCCACTGCAGACCTCACTCCACCACCGCTTTCCCTCTGAAGCACAACGCAGCCTCCGAATCCTGCTCAGCACTGCGTGCTTTGGGTGGCCACTCCAGAGGTGGTATGAAAAGTGAAAATCCTCTGCAGCCTTGGCCCAACCCAACATAAGGGTGAGGACACAGAGCCCCAGAGGGTGAAGAGGATTCACCAGCGTCACTGTGACAGGCAGAGCCAGGACTAGACCCCAGGTCCCTCGACTTCCTGTCCAGCGCTCTTCCCCAGCACTGAGCTGCCCTCTGAGCTAATCTGGGGGTAGAGGGGCCATCTGGAAGGGCCACTCAGCCATCACATGGTCATGGTGGGCTCTGTGCCCCTTTCCTACCACCAGGACCTCGTCTTGTCCTCTAGGATGGTTTGCTGTGGACACGCCTCTATCTGTCATGACTGTGTGGATCTCCTGCATCTGACCAAGGCCTCACCAGGTCACACCACGTCACTGAGGGGCCAGGTGTCAGCCGAGACATCCAACTCTTGGTGGTGGTGACGGCAGTGTGAAAAGCTGGGCAGCTCCCTGCTGCAGGCATGATAGGGTCCAGCCAATCGTGTCCACCCACGGGGGGTCTGTGCTTGTTGGTCAAACCTAAGGCCCAAAGACACACCTCTTGGGACCCAAAGACACAACCTCTGGAGAGCAGAGTGTTGAGCTGGGGCAGCGGTCCTCCAACAGGCCTGCAGCCACAGGAAGCGCAGCCCGCCACGGCAAAGTGGCTCAGCGGGTCACAGCAGTCAGGCTGCGCACCTGCCGGTATTCAGTCCCCCTTCAGCAGCCACCTTCCCAGTCCGTGCGTGGGCCAGGCCGGGCTCCGGGGCAGGATTCTCAGTGGTGAGCTGCAGACGAAGGTCCTGAGCTCCCAGAGCTCACCTTCAGGTCCAGGAGAGGTCGGTAAACAAACACAAATAAACACAACAGGCAGTAGGTCACGCTGGGACCAGCGCAAAGGGGAAAAACAGAGGCAGGAGGGAGCACAGGGTATGTGCGGGTGGGGCCACAGTGCTGCTCTATAGGGACAGCCCGGACAGGCCTCGGTATGAGAGTACAGAAGTTGGAGGCCTGGAGACCCTCCTCCTGGACACACAGGGACATGCGTGGACCCGTCTAAGGACCGTCAGTGAGAAGATAGAGCAGCTGCAAGGAGGAGGCTGGTCTCCAGCAGAAAGGACGAGTTGGCCACAGCCCCTCAGCCCTGCCGAGGGACAGAGAAGGTGGCCGCCATACTGCAAGCAAGCTCTTGGGGCTCCTGGACACCTCGCCGGGGCACACGCAGTCACCCACTCAGGAAAGCCACCATCTGCTTAGGTCTCAGGCTCAACTCGGAGGAGAAAACTGAGGTCCAACAGGCCCTTCTTGGTGGGACCGGCGGTGGGAGGACAGGGAGCTTGGGACCCCCTGGCGCCCGGCCGCCGTCATCCAGAGTGGAGTCCGCTGCCCCGCTGCGAACGCCTGCTCGGGGCGCTGGGGTGAACGTGCACCTCGGGGCCACTCCCCACTCCAGCCCTGGACCGTGACCTCCGGGACTCAGGGGCAGGCCAGCGCCCCGAGAAAGCCCTGTCTGCTCAACTCTCTCTATCCCAGGGGGCAGGGAGGGCTGTCCCACAGGGAGGGCCTCCTTCTGAAAGGGCTGCCCCACTGCGGCCACCCGGGCGCCTGCGAGCCTCGGGCCGGCGTGGCTGCCAGGGGCCACTGGAAGGGCCGAGATGCCCTGGCACGGCCCTCCCCCACCGGGGTTTTTAACAGTCTCGCTTCTTAGCACTTTCGATGGATTCTCCAGGGACGTCTCTCAAAGAGAGTTACACCTTAATTTAGAAGCAATAACTCAAAACTCGATGACGTAGTAGCTCCTGTGGAAAAGAGACGAACTCACGGAAGCCATTGTGAGAGGGTGCCCGCCACCGGACTGCCCAGCGCTCGGCCATGGGGCTGTGCCTCCCGCCCAGGGGTCCAGGGCCACCAGGGTCAGCGGACAGAGGGGGCAGAGGCGACACACACGGGAGGCCAGGGTGAGGCTCGCAGGCTGGCTCTGACCCACCCTCGCGGCCCCATGCCCTCTGCCCATAAGAGGCGAGGGGAGGGGAGAGCGGCGGTGGTCCTGGGTGCTGTTCCGGCCGCCAGCGCAGCCAGGCTCCACGGGGATGCCCATGGTAGCCCCACACGGCCACGCCTGGTTCGATGCTCTGCTGTCGCTGTCTTGAAATGCTTAACAACTTTTAACAAGGGCCCAAGAATGACGTGGCCAGTCCTGCCCACGCTGCTCAGTCCCCACACACCCCGTGCCTCTCGCAGAGTTTGCTGCAGGGGACCCACCCTCCTGGGAATACCCTCTTCTGCAGCCCCCGACATCGCCATCGTGACTGTGCTCCCACCTCACTCGCCGTCAGTCCTTCTCAGTCTCTTTTCTAGGTGCTCCTTCTCAGCTCGTGCTCTGAGCCGGGCAGGCCCTGAGGCCTGACCCAGACCCTGCCGGTCCCACCTCCCATCGATCCCTGGGAACTCGGCCGGTCCCTGGCTCCCAGTGACCCTCTGACCGTCACACACGCCTACGTCTACCGGGTCTACCTTGACTCCCGATTCCCCGTCTCTTACAGATGAGGCTGATGCTTCCTTCTCAGCCAAAGCCGACTCTGTGCTTCCAGGGCTGTCCTTGCCTCTTCTCTATTGGCAGGTCCTCTTTAAGATAAATTCCCCATCTCACTATCTGTGGTGCCCCCACCCCAGGGGGTCAGCAGCCTCCCCACCCCAAATGCTGCAACGGCCCCTAATGGCCTCTGGTCTTGCCCCTGTGCCCGTCAGTCAGACAGGTCTTTTAAAAGTGTAATTAGCTGGAGTTTCTCTGCTCCAAACCTGCCCAGGGCTTCCTGCCTCATTGGGGCTGCAGAGCCCCACCTGACTTGCTCCACATACACGTCCTCCCCTCCGCCCCCCATTAGTGGTTCCAGCCCCCGGGCCTTCTGGTGGATCCTCCTGCAGCTGAACTGTGTTGGCCTCAGGGCCTTTGCACCTGCCATTCCCTATCCTGGTGTTCTTCCCTATCACTCACCCAACCCTCCATGGCACTGCACCAGCAGCCCCTCCACACAGCGATGCCCTCCCCCAACTTTCTGCTTGAATTCTCCTCAAGGCACTTATCCTCCCTTTCCTTCAGTTACACAGGTATTGTGCCAGTCTCTCCCAGTCTGATGTGGTTGTCATGCGAGCAGACGATGCATCCGTCCTGCTCCCTGCCCTACCCCTGTGCCTGGCACAGCACCTAGCTCTTACAGGCACTGGTAAATACTGGCCACAGGAATGAGTGGATGAGCAATCGTGAGGCTCCGTATGGAGGGCCGACGTCTGCCCCACATGCTCTGGGGTCCATCAGACGGTTCCTGTGAGTTAGTCTCCAGCAGTTCACTCTGCACCTCACCAGCCGCATGGGTACCGGAGGGGCCAAACGTGTGATGAAGCCCTGAGGGGACCAGGCAGGGCACTCTCGAGAGGCCAGGGCTGGGCCGGGTGGCGGCGGGCCCAGGGCCTGACCCAAGTCTTCTGCCTTGACGGGCGCTCTCCCTCCCCACCCTGCACCCCTCCCCAGTCTGCCTGAGCTGCGTCTGGCCACCACTCTGGGCTCCAACCTGGGAGCCCTGAGGCCTCTGTCCACCTCCCTCCGCCCTCCCTCCTGCCAACTACAGCGCTGCAGGCCTGCCCCGAGGCTCCAGCACCCCAGGCTTCCTTCCTGGGGGCCGCAGGGGAGCGGCGCACTATCAGCCTCTTCCAGAGTTCCTGCAAGCCCAGCCCAGCCGCGGGTCAGTAGCATCGAGAATGCCCTAGAGCCGCACAGCACTCGGGTCTTCTGACAGCTGGCAGGGGACAGTACAGGGCTGCCTGGTCCTCACCTACACGGCAGGAAGGCGCGGCACACACCAGCATCGCATGTGCACATGAGACAACCACTCTGCGAGGTCGAGGCCCCTGGGGCCACACTCTGGGTCTGACACCCTCCATCCCACCAGCCTCTCCGCAGGGGCCCTGGGCAGCTGTGCCAAGTCTGCCCGGTTACCTACAAGTTCCTGGAATTGCCCTAGAAGCTCCTGAGAGCCAGACCAAGGCACTTTTCCTCCTGGGACTCCAGGAAACAGAAGAGCTGAGAAGCTGACGACAGACAGTGGAATTCATTCCCTGTGTCCCAAATCTAGAGTCTCATGCAGAGGGCCGGGCGACAGGCACAGAGTGAAGCAGCTCCATCAGGCTCAGCGTGGACCTCACCCCCATGAGGGCAGGCAGGTGGGCCTGCTCTCGCTGCAGCAACCTAGGCCTTAGCCAAAAGCCGAAAGTGGGTGGGTGTTTGGGGACAGGGCAGGGAGGGGCATGCCACACAGATGAGTAACAAACAGCCCCTTCCCCCCAGGAGCCAGCAAGCCAGCAGATCCAAAGCAGAAGGTGACACGGGGCTTCCGAGGGGGAGGAACTATGTCTTATTCACCTCCTGTCTCAGAAAACCAGCGTCTGTTAGAGGAACACACAAGAAGAGTGTTAAACCAAATGCCAGTGTCTCATCTGGACCACGAGGAACGCCGAAGGCACACCACTTCAGCCAGGCACAGCCAGGCCCTCGCACCGTCAGCCCTACACAGAGACACTCAGGATTCCCCGGTTTCTGTTTGAAAACATCCACACCCCAAAGGGACAGTGTCACCAGCTAAACATCATCCTGCATCCTGGCTGGGAAGGAGGCTGGGTGGTCAGTGACCCAGCACTCCGGCCCTGCCCCAGGGACAAGATGCCTGGCAGGGCAGGCAGGGCAGTCCTCGGCTGCACGGAGCCCTCCCAGGTCTTTGAAGCTCGTCCCCAGGCCCACCGCGGCTCCCGGGTCACACAGCTGCTCCCTTTCACAGATGAGGATGCTGCAGCCCCCAGTGAAAGCCACAGCTAAGAAAAAACCCGGTCTTTCTGTTTCTCCAGCTCCCTCATCCCCTGCCACCCCCACCCGCCTTTCCCGCCATACCTCCTATGCTCCCAAGCACACCCCGGGCTCCTGCCAGACCCAACTGCCGGAGCGCCCTCTCTCTGCCTCAGTCCATTTTCTCCCCTCTGCCCGCAATGCCCACCCCAACTGTGCCCGTGTCCTTCAAGCTCCACTTCAAAAGTCACTCTGCCCACAGGCTCGTCTGACCCTAGCCCAGGTCACCTCTCTGAGGTCCCTCCCAAGGCCCTTGAACCCACACTCAGGGTTGGGTTATCTGAGCAGACATTTCTCCCCTGTGGGGTGGTGAGTCAGTCCCCAGAGGGCAGGCCCAGTCCACTCCCACCCCAGCGCCAGGCCCTGGGGGAGCGAACACTCAGTAAATATTTGCTTAATCGAATTTGGCCAAGGAGCCTCCTCCAGACAGAGCTGAAGGCAGCAGGACTCAGTCCCCAGGGCAGGGAAATCACTCGGCTGCCTCCCTAAGCCGGGCAGACCTCCCCTACCAGGCGGGTCCCTCCATCCTGAGACACTGGACTCCAGGGAGCCCTGCCTCGGCACCGCCTTCCCATCCTCTTCCCTCTTGTAACACAGAACCCCAATTCTGGGCCTAGGCGGATTCCTGCCATCATCGCCCAGAGAGGCTCAGCACCGCCCTGAACGCAGAGCCCCCTCGGATCTCCGCAGGATACGGAGCTCCGGCCCCGAGGCCCTCACACCCCTCCCCCCAAACACCCCCACCGCCTTTTAAGGGAAAAAAATATTGAGCCGGGAACATATCACAATAGCAGCGGGTCGATACTCATCTCTGGCTCTAAACGCCTCCAAGGAACCTGCTCGCTGCAAGAGCGGTGACCGAAAACTGCGAGCCGTCCGTCCCCGGGCCCAGGCCTCCGGGGCCCTCGCCTTCGTTTTAGCCAAAGACCCGCGTCGGCGCCCCCGCTGCTCGGGTCGCCTCCTTCCCTCTCCCCCGGGAGGGAGACCCCGCCTCGGCGCCCTCCCGCAGGTCGCCGCCCTGGCCCGGCTCCGCAGAAGCCGCTGCTCTAGCCCCTAGCGCGGCATCCCCGCGGCCCCTGCCCACCCTCCCGGCCTGCAGCCGCCCCCTCCCGCCGGATCCTCAGCCCGGCGGCGCCCCTCGCCAGCACCTGCCGGGCCGCGGCCGCCCCCTGCCCACCTTGCGGGCGTGCCCGCCCTCGCCGCCCCCACCGGCCGGGCATCCCTGTGGCTGCGCCCCGGCGCCCCCGACCCGGCGCCCCCCACCCGGCCGGATCCCCAGCACAAAGGCCCGGGCGGGGCCCGGTGGGGGTGGGGTGGGCGCCCCCGAACCCCCGAGGCTCAGACGCGCGCCCCGGCCGCGGGTCCGCTCACTCACCTCCGGGCCGCGGCGCGGTGCTCCGGCCGAGCTGCTCCAGGCGGGGCGGGGCGGGGAGAGACGGCGAGCGCGGGCCCGGGCGCCCTCGTTCCGCACTACGCGGGCGGCGGCGCCCGCGCGGGGACGTGACCGGACCGCGGGCGGCGCACACGCTCCGGCGGCCTGGCTCCCTCCGCCCGCTCGCCCGCCCGCGGGTCCGCCCGCCCCGCGCCGCGCGGCCGCCGGCAGGGGGCGGAGCCGCGAGCGCAGCGCGTTGCCAGGCCAACCGCGGGCGGGGGTGCCGCGCGCCCGCCGGTGACCACGCGCCGGGCGCCACCGCCCAGCCACGAGCGCCGGTTCGCCGCCCATTGGGCACGAGTGGCTGACGGACGCGCCCGTGGCCCAATGGCGACGGGCAGGGGCGGGGCCGCAGCTCCGCGCTCGCCGCAGTCCGGCGCGCGCTGCCCGCTCCGGCGTCCCCGGAACCCTGCTGCGACCCGGCCGGGGTGCCAATCCAGTGGGACCGCATATCGCAGACTGGGAGACCGAGCCTGAGATCGGCGGATGCCCCGGCCCGCGCTTGCCCCCTCCCTCCAGCCCCGTCCGAATTCGAACCCAGCTCGGCACTTTCTGAGCTCCGCGACCTTGGGCAACCGACTGACCTGTCTGAGCCTGTTTTGCTAAGTGGGGCTGGTGGCACCTGCCTCCCTGAATTGTTGCGCTAATCCGCTAGAACGTGTGAAAGGGCTATGCAAACCCTAAAGGTTTGCACCGTTGAGGTTTGTGCAGCGATGGGGGGAGGGCTTGAACGTCTTTGCTGCTCCCACTGCAGCCTGTAGGGGCTCTTCAGGGTCCCTGGCAACCCTGGCCACGGATGTTTGCCTTGGAAGGAGGAGAGGGAGAAGGGCCCAGGAGCTGTCACCTAGACTGGAGAGGCGGGAGGAAGCCAGCTCAGTTAAGGCCAGGGTCCCATTGGCGCCTTGGGGAAGCTCATAGAAGGCATCAGGTGCTCAGCAAAATGCACCTGAGGGCAGTCTGTCAAATTCTGCTTCCAGTTTCAGGGGGAGCCCATCTGTGGGCCTCAGAGCCAGAAACTCCTATGCTTAAAGGACTCAGGCCAGAGAGCCAGACATTAATGCCACTCTCTGTCTTTCCCATCGCTGTAACCTGAAGCTTTGTGCGTCCTAGAGCATCCTAGCAAAATGCAGGTGCTCCCGGCTGACGCCTTCTTATCACTTTGCACCATCGTGGTCACGTTACAAGGATCACCCCACTGGCAAGCAGGAGCACTGGAACTGACCATCGGCAGAGGCAGTTGGGGTGGTGGCCCCAGCCCAGGTCTGTGGTCAGAAGCCAGGGGCGGGAGTCCAGCTCTGCCAGCTGGACGCTGTGACATCTCGTCATCCCATAACGTCTCTGAGAATGTGTCCTCTGCTGTGAAATGGAGACCACTTGCAACGTCCCCCCACCTGGGAAGGTGCTGCCTCAACTGTCAGGGACAGGGAAGATGCTGGGGATGGGCATCCTGAGGCGACCTCAGACCTGGCACAGTGCTCTCTGGAGGGGGCCAGCAGTTGAGGGGCTTCTGTGTGTAAATGCCCTCCACACTGCCAGGCTGGCTGAGGCTGGACTCTGCCCAGAGGACCACACAGCGGCCAACAGCTGTGACACCAGGAAGACGAGGAGTGCAGGCCCTGCCCTGCAGTGGGTCAGAGGTGAGAGGCGGCTGGCGGTGAAGCGCAGGCCCAGCTCTGCTGCCGTCACCTGGATACCCTTGGGTGACTTATTTCACCTGGCTGAGTCTCAGTTTCCTCTTCTGTCAAAAGGGGAGGATACGAGGCTATCCCTCGAGGGCAACCCTCAGGGAAATGCACATTGGCACATATTCAGAGAGGGCGAGGGCAGTTCCCTTGGGGGATCAGGGGTCCGAATTGAGCCGTTTGCAGGGGCAAACTATATGCAAACGTAGGATGACCCCCAACAGCAGTCCAGGCACAAGATCAGAGGCTAGCCCACGGAGGGGCCTAATGGGGCTGGCTGCTGCCCTGTCACCTGATCCTGGTGGCCACCTCGAAGTGAGAGGTCACTTGGCATCAACCAATGGGTGTAGTCCCTTACACGGCAATCATTTCCTGACGGCCTTCTCTGTGCTGGGCACAGGTCTAGGGTTCAGACAGACCTGACGCTGCCCGCTAGACGCCCCTGTCTGCGGGGCAGGGCAGACGGCAGAACAATATTTCACCATTAGGATTGTGTGAGGCCTGATGGAAGAGACCCACCAGGGCTCTGGGGTCACGTGGCGGGGGCAGAACCAGCCACCGGGACAGCAGGAAGGACGTGGCCTGTGACTTGGGGCAGGAGAGAAGCACATTCCAGGGCGGGAAGGCGCTGAGTGGAAGGAGCATGAGGCCTGGAAGAACCTGGGAAAGACCAGTGTGGCTGGAGCCGGGCGGCATGTGAAGATGCCAAAACACGAGGCTGGAGCGGGGCTGGGGACAGGCACGCCGGGCCTGCGGCCCTCGTGTAGTGTTGGGGACGTTGGCCTGAGAACCACTGGAGAGATTTAAGACTAGCTTTTTACATTTGAGAGGAAGCACGGCGAGTTGCTGTTTCATGTTTAGGCCGGCGTGGTCCCACAGTGTGTGGTGTCCGGGGACGCAGAATCAAATAACAGACGTGCACTCGTCAGCCCGGAGAAGAGAAGCAAGCAGAGAGGGCAGGCCGCGAGGCCCAGTTCAGTAAAGGGCCACGGGATCACCAGCGACCGCGTGTGTCAGGAGATGGCTGGGCGGCGCTGAGCTGGCCCTGGCAGGGTGGAAGAGTGGGGAGGGTGGGGACCAAGGAGCGGGCCCACATGAGAGGAGACACTGGAGGAAGGGATGGCACTTGCTAAGCAGATGGAGGAGCAGTCGGAGAGGTGGCTGGGAAACCAGGGAGTGGAGGGTCCCTGAGCCGCGGGAGTGTCCCTAGAAGGAAGACAGTCAGCCGTGTCACATGATATTGGGAGGCCGAGTAAGCTGAGGACAGAGAAGTGTCCCCTCGAACAAAGGTAGGCATGAGCTGGGGGTAAGTGTGCCAGGAATTCAGGGCGTGGGGCCTGCAGGAGGCTAAAGCTGGACAGGTGGGTCCAATGAGGCGCAGTGGGCCCAGGGCACCAAGCATGGCTACGTGGTCCCCGGGGCCGGGCCGGCGCTCCATCCTCAGTCCTCACTGGCCCGGAGAACGGGACTGGGAGACGAGAGCTGGGCTCTGAGGTAGAAAGAGGAAGGGGGCCCTGCTCATTGAACCCGCCCAGCACCTCACCAACCCAGGGGGGACAGCTGGCTGAGGAGTGGCTCCTTGGGGTGGTGTCAACCCCACCGCTAGGAAATGACCAAACCTCAAGCACAGGGGCTTCCATGCCATGGGCTTAGTGACCCCTCAATCCCAGCAGAGCTTCTGGCTCATCAACCAACCCGTCCTGGCTCACCGGCCGCACTGCATCGCTGGACTGAGGGCCCTCCCCAAACACCGCCGTGCCTCCTGCCTCTGCCCCCTGCCCCCCGCTCCTCTGGCCTCCCTGCCCGTACAGACAGAGCCCCGAGGGCCCTGGGTTTCCTCATCTACACGTGTCAACCTGTGCTGGAGTGACCGGTCCCCACTGACTCTCCCACTCGTCCCCCTACTTCCCAAGGGTGGGGGTGGTCTCGCTCATCTCAGGACCTCTGGACGGTCCCCTCCTGGCTGACTCTTCTCTGTGCCCCACCTCCCCTGCTCCCCCAACCCAACCCCCCACCGGCCGATTCCCCGGCTGTGGCCAGGCCAGGGGTTTCTCTAGTTTGTTTCCTTGGGGTCTGTGCACTCCCCCTCCCCAACTTGAACAAGCCATTGCAGATCTGGGTTAGTTATAAATAGCCAGGCCTGCGACTCTCCTTTTAGCTGAAAAGAAGCAAAGTGAACGAGCAGAGAGGCACACCCGGCACGCGTTTTATTTTTAATCTTCTCCCTCTGTCTCAAAATGAACCCATGTCCCAGTGCTCTGCATTTCTAGGAGCAGAGGCCCAAGACAAATGCCTGGGAAACAGAACCCGGGGAGCTAAGGGCCCTAGTCTTGCCCCGGTCTGCTGTGGGACCTGGGGCACTTGAGTAGCCTCTCTGGGCCTCAGTATCCTCTTCAAGAGGGAGAGCAGTGGAGTTGATCACCTCCAACACTTGGACTTTCTGACGTGAGTCCCTCCTTCCGCCCTCCCGCAGCCTCTGCTGCCCTGTGGCTCCAGCAGCAGCCCTCTCCCTAGGCGTTCCGAGGAGGCCCAGACCCAGGTGCAAGTGAGGACACATTGAAGCCCCGATTTGATGATGCACAAATTCCGGGCTTTTGCTCAGGTGTCCCCCGTCAGGATCATTATCCCTCCATCAGCCAGCAGGATCCTTCTTGGAAGGTCCGACTGTCACCTCTCCACTGTGAGCTGGGGAGGGGTCGGCCGGCTGGGTGGTGGAAGCGAAGGGGGAGCAGGAGGCCGGGGCGCGCAGTGTGGCCATGGGCCAGCTGGAGGACAGGGCGAGGGGCAGAGAGGCTCAGGCCCCCAGGGGAGGCGGCCTGTGGGGCCACCGGGAGGTGCTCCTGCAGGCGGGGACTGCAGCTCTTGTCTTTGTGTCCCGCCATGTCCCAACCCTTGCTTGGAGCTGGGACTCAGTGTTGGGGAATTCAGGAGACTCTTGCTGTGCTAGGTCCAGACGTTCTGGGCACACAGTGACAGTCGCTTACGCGGAGCACTCTCCCACCCAGTACTCCACTGATGCCGCCCAACCCCTGCCAGGGAGGCTTGTGTTAATGATGAGGAAACCAGCTTTAGAGGGGTTAAGCGACTTGTCCGAGGTCACACGGCTGGATCCATTCAGGATTCCAACCTAGGCTTTTTTTGAAATCTACGTGTATTAAATCTTAAAAAGCCCAATACTCTTGAAGCCACAGGAGATACTCTTCCTGTATCGTGAGTGCCCTGGGAACAAATGGGGAGAGCTGTCTGCTCTGCCCAGGAAGAAGCTGGCCAGGGCAGCGGGAGGCTCTGGACCCTGCCTCTCCAGCCGCCTCGCCTGGGCTCCTGCCACCTGATGTCCTCAGGGAGGAAGAGGGGAAGGCTGGGGTGGTGGCTTCAAAGAGGAAATCCCTGGTGCTAATTGGCACTCAGAGACCTTTAGGCTAATTAACCTGTTTATTTGTCTCTCTAGAGTAAATTAGAGGGTTTAGCCGGGGAGGGCTGAAGAGAGAGGTGTTTGCGGTGGCCATCTCTGTGGGGCTGTCAATGGCTTCGCAGCGGGCGGTGTGGCTGCTAGGGAGGCAGGGAGATGGCGGGCTATAGGGCAGTTGTGGCTGGTTACCTGCATGCCATGGGGAAGGGCCACCCTCCCTGTTGGTGCCTGCTCCCTTCCCAGGAGGGTTGCTCTGCGAGCAGTTCCGGGCTCACTCGGGCTGGACCCCCGGGGTGCCAGGGGCCGGTTCTGAGTCCTCCTCCAGGCAGCCCACCAGACATTCCCCAGGAGGGAGGAGAGCTGGAGGGAGTGAGGAGGAACTGGTCCATGGCGTAGGCCCACCACACTGCGCTTCTCCAGCCCCTGCGCCTGGGCCGTGCCACGTGGAGCTCCCCTTCCTGCAGGGCACCAGTCTCCTGCAGACGCCTTGGCCAGAGTCTGTGGATTTCCTGTCACCTTGGGTTGGGGGTACAGCTCTTTTTGGTGTATAAGATGCTGGCCAGTTCACTCCAAATCTTCTGCCTCAGACCCGATTCCAAGCTCTTCTTCCTCTCCCTAAGGGCCCGCCACACTGATCGGCTGTCTCTGGCAGCTTGGAGATGTTGCGGGTGGGAAGGAGGGGCTTGGCTGTTCCCCCCTCCCCGAGCCCCCTCTGGGGCTGGGTGGGGAAGGGAGGGAGGCTTCTCCAGTGCCCGAGCCCCGGGGGTGAGCTGCTCTGCTCCAAGGAGTGGCTGCTGCTTCCCAGGCCACTGAGCGCCTGTTTAAGACAGATGCTCCCCAGTCACAGGTGACCAAGGGCTGGCACCTTTTGGGGTCCTTTGAGGCCTCGTGGTTCCCACCGCAGCTTGTCAGCCACAGCCTCCTGGTGGTTGCTCAGGCCCCCTGCCTGGCAGCTGGGGCCGGGGGGCTCTTGTAATTTGTCTTGTCAACGCCCCTCCTCTGGCTCTGAGGACTCTCCTCGCCCCTGAATGGGTGGGGGGTGGCTGTCCCACCCTCACTGTCCTTTCCTGTCCTGCAGGGGCGCAGGGCATTGTCAACAGTGGCCTGATCCCCGCACTGGTGTGGAAGCTGCAGAGGGAGGAAGAAAATATCCAGGAGCTCCTCCTGGACACGCTGGCGGCCTGCCTGATGGAGGATGCCACTGAGGCGCTGGACAGCCGCCTGGTGCCCTTCCTGAAGGAGAAGCTCCTCAGCGCCAACAACAACATCCGCAGCAAAGCCGCCCGCACGCTCGTGGCCATCAGGTTAGGCCTGGCTGTGCTATGGGGACGGAGAGGGTAGGGCGGGAGTGGCCAGCCCTGGGGCCACTGCCGAGGCTCAGAGACAGCAAGTGAGCCACCCTCGGCCCTGCAGCAAGTCAGCAGTGGGGCCTCATCCTGCCAGCTGCCTGGAGCTCCAGGGTGTACACCCGGTGTCTGCTCCTCTCCTGCTTGTGCCCTGGGGGGAGCAGACCCTCTCCACTGGGGTGATCGATGTCTGGCAGCCTGAGAGTGCCCTGGGCTTAGCACGGACAGTCCTGTACCCCAGGAAACCCCCAGTCCTCAGTGAAACGAGACGGTTGGTCACCCCCTCCCCATGAGGAGGGCAAGTGCGGCAGCACAGCTGTGGTCATAGTGGTCACTCAGCGCTCAGTGTGTGCCAGGCGTTGTCTACAAGCTGCACATTCAGACACCCCTCCAAGGAGGGTGATCCTCTCCCTTTACAGGCAAGGAGACAGATCCGGGTCACCCGTGGTCACAGTCTAAATCCTGGCCTGCGCCCTCAGGAAGCATGCAGCCTCAGAGCTGCGAGGGCCACAGCCCGCTTCCCGAGGATGGGCCCCTGCCTGAGCTGTGGCTGCCTCCCTTTGTCCTGCCACCTCCAGCTTCCCCCAGTCCTGGTTTTCCTTCCGTCTGGGATCCTCACTAGAGACCGGGGCCTGCGTTTCTGCAAGTGGGGCCGCTGATCCCGGGAGGTTGTGAACACGCAGATTCCAGGGCCCGGCCCAGACGGACCCTCATCAGGTCCTTGCTCAGAGGTCTCTTTCCAGTGAGGCTGCCGAGGACCACGCCATCTCTATAAATCGGTGGCCTTGCCCCTGGCAGCCTCCCCCAGCCCGCCTGTGCTTTCCCCATTCTCTGCTGTCCTGTGTGTCATCCCCAAGGGGAGCTCCTGAAGACAGGGCTTTGCTCTGCTTGCTGCTCGACACCAGAGGTTCAAAATGGGGCCGTTTGGCCCCCGAGAGACATGAAGCACCATGCAGAAACATTTGTGGTTGTTCCAACTTGGAGGTGAGGGGCTACCCCTGGCATGGAGAGGGTAGAGGCCAGGGATGCTGCTCGACCTCCCACAATGCACGGGACACTCCCCACCGCAAAGAGTCATCTGGCCCAAAATGTCAGCAGTGCCGAGGTGGGGCAACCCTGCCCCTGCTGCAGGGTCCGGGGCCCAGGCCCCAGGGACCAGATGCCCGCAGTGCTGGCTGCGGGAATGCACGGGCGTGGGACCTCTGGAGGTGGGGCCCAGGACTCTGCATCTCTGGTCAGTTTCCTGAGGGTGAAGGCCCGCGGTCCTCCAAGCTCAGCCGCCTTGCAAGGTCAGAGCTAGTGGCTGGCCATCCCCGTGCTTCCCAAACTGGGTTCCCAGGACACAAGACAGCCGTGTCTTTTGAGATATTATTAAGAGGGTTCTGTGGGTGGTGGAGTTTGGGAAAGGTTGATTCAAATAACTAAGTGACTCAGGGTCCTTTGCTGCAGGACAAACACACTGTGATGCTCCCGGAGGCCCCGTGGGCAGCATTTCCCAGCTCAAGGAACCCTTCTCTTTTGGGGCACAGTATCGAACCTCTCACAGTTTCAGGAAATCTTGGGGCATCCACCACTTTCATTTTCACAGCTTCATGCAATGCCAGGACTGGTAGTGACCTAGAAAGTCACCTCGCCTGAGGTGGCTCCTCACCAGCATCCCCCCAGCAGCTTGCTGCTCTTTGCATGGCTTAGCCCATCCCTGGCAGCTCAGACTCTTACATGGAGTCAAAACGAGTCTCCCTGTGGTTCGTGCCCCTGGGTCTTGCTCCTCCCCATTTTGGGGCCAGAGGGAACACGTCTAGTTTCTTCTCCAAGTAATACCTTAGGACGAGGCTCCACTGTCCCCTGGCTCCTGGGTGATCTGACCTTCAGTGGCCCCAATCTGTGCTCTCAGGTCGTCTGAGCACAGAGGTGAGGCCCAAACCTCACACCAGTGCTCCCCTGCACCCTGGCACCTAGCCCCGGTCAGGCCCAGACCGCCAGGGATGGTCCCAACACGAGTCCTTTCCTCTGGTGTTCCCCTGGATCCTGCCCCACTCCTCCCCCAAAGCAGAGCCACCCAGCTGTCCCTTCTCTGGCCCAGCATCCCTCTGGAGGGCAAGAAGCAGATATGGCAGTATGACGTCATCCCCATCCTGGTGCATCTGCTGAAAGACAAGGTGAAGGAGGTGCAGGCCAACGCTGCCGGGGCCCTCATGTACGCCACGGTGACCACTGAAGGTGAGGCGGCCTGCAGGCTGGGCATGTCCGCGCGGGCAGGGTGTCCCTCGTGCAGGTGTTGGAGCTGATTCCGGGGGTCACTGCAACCCCCCAGGATGCCAGCTGTCCCAGTGAATTTGAGTATTGACCGCCCCCTGCCCCTCCATAATACTCCTCTTGGCCTGTTATTGAGACGGCTTCAAGCTGGGTCTGATCCTCTGCTCTCCCTCTTCTTGCTGGCCACAGCAGGCCGCCTGCCCGTGGCCACTCCATGGTCACTTGCATTAGGACCTCTGTCCCTTCCTGCCAGGCTCTTCCTTAGGCCTGGAATTCCCATGATTCTGGGATTGATTAGTTTGACATTCATGATTCAGTTATCAGGAGGTCTAAGCAAACACTGGAGCCCTCGCATCTATGGTGTTTCTTGATCGAAATGACTTTTCTTGGGGCAGTCCCTGTGGCCTAGTGGTTAAATTCAGTGTGCTCCACTTCGGCAGCCTGGGTTTGGTTCCCGGGTAGGGACCTACACAACTCATCAAGCCACACTGTGGTGGCGACCCACATACAAAATAGAGGAAGACTGGCACAGATGTTAGCTCAGGGCCAATCTTCCTCAAGCAAAAAGAGTATTGGCAACAGACGTTAGCTCAGGGTGAATCTTCCTGAGCGAAAAAAAAGGAAAGAAATTACTGTTCTTAGTGGAGGGAGGGTCACAGAAGAGTGTAAGATGCTCTCCCCAGCCCCTAGCCCCTACCCTGGGCTAATGGGAGGGACCGGGACAGGCCATCCCACTGTGACCTCTGGAAGCTGCCCAACTTTCCCCAAGGCCCACACTTGCCTGCACCAGCCCTATGCCCTGTGCTTCTTTGGCGTTCCATGGAGGACTGTCTGGGCCTCTGATTCTCAATCAGCATGCTGCAAAGCCCCCCAAAGTGGGGTCCTCCCACGCCACCCACCCCGGTGGAATCTGAGACACACCAGAGTGGGAGAGGTTGGGGCCTTCCCAGAGTCCAAAGCCCCCATTCGATGGTGCAGTCAGGATGCTGACCACCAGGCTGGGGCTCCTCGTGCGTGTTTGTCTCATGGGTGTCCTCAGTGCAGTGTCTCTGCCTGGGTTTCCTATGGGATCTCTTGGAGGGCTCACAGGGGGGCCGGGCCACAGCTGGAACCCATGGATGTGAGGCCACATTTTTCCAGAGCTATCACTCCAGCCAAGGGTCCCCACAGTTCTGCCTCGTGCCAGGCCCTGCCCTGGGCAGCCGGGACCCAGACATCTCAGCCTCGGGTGTCTACGGTTTGGTGGGAGTGGCAGAGTGGCGAGTGTATGGGGAAGAGGCACAGCGCGCAGTGGGCCCCAGACGGGGCAGAGCCTCCTCTGGGAGGGGCATGGGTGGTGACCCAGAGGCCATGGGAGTCAGCAGGGCAGAGAGGGGCTGGACAGGCCTCAGCAGCAAAGAGAAGAGTGCTCAGTGCAGGAAGGGCAGGGGCAGGGCCAGCCATGTGGCCTTTTAGCAGGTGAGGTGGTGGGGAGGGCAGCAAAGGGTTACGTGGGGTGTCTCCTTTACACATTAATGTCCGTGTCCCCCACTAGACTGTAACACCATGAAGGCGAGACCTAGGTGTGTTTTGTGCCTGGTGCAGAGCAGGTGCTCAGGAAATATTTGAATAATTACATGTTAATTTTTAAGAGACCATTTGTGTTGCCTTGTGAGGACAGGCGCCAGGTGGTTGCAGAGAAGCCAGTGAAGGGCCTGGAGGGGCAGGAGATGATGGGGCCTGGCCTAGGCTGAGGCAGAGGCAGGTGCAAGGGTGAGGGAGGGAGCCTGGTAAAGGTGGCACCTCCCCAAAACGCGCAGGCTGGAGGTGGGGGGGCGGAGTGCAGAGGAAAAGGGGCAGAGGGCCCGTCAGGAACCCTTGATGTTGGTGGCCCGCAGGGAAGTACGCAGCCCTGGACGCAGAAGCCATCACCCCGCTCCTGGGGCTGCTCTTCTCACCCTTGAGCAAGGCCCGCCTGAACGCCATCAAGGCCCTCACCATGCTGGCCGAGGCCCCTGAGGGCCGCAGGTTCCTGCAGGCCCACGTGCCCAACTTCCGTGCCCTTGAGAAGGATGACAATGAGGCTGTGCGGAGGGCAGCCCTGGTCGCCATCAAAGTTGTCGAGTGGAAACCTTGAGCATCTTATCAGGCCAGCCCTGATAGGTGCCATGCCTGAATAAAAGGGCTGAATCTCTTTATCTTGGGTCTGAAAGGCACTTTCTGTTCCTGGGACATGGTCACACCTCCCCTCACCTGCCAAAAGGGAAAGGCCAGGCCAGGCGAGCCAGCACGGGCTGAATCCAGGGCCCAGGGATGCGCAGGAGGCGTCCTTGCTCTCTGCTGGGCCAAGAAGGTAGTGAGCAGGGCTGGGCCCTCCATGGAGGTGGCGGGGGTGGGGAGGGGGGTGTGGGGGGATAGGCAGGGAGTTGGGTTGGCGGAGGGAATGCAGCTGAACCAGGCACCACGCAAGCTTTGGACACTCTCGTGACCAGGCCCTTGGAGTGTGGTGGGGCATGGCCCTGCTCAGCAGGTCTGCTCCCTTCTCACACTGGGTGGCAGGAAGGGAGGTGAAAGGTGCCACCCCATGTGGGCTCTTGCTAGTTGTAAGCAGCACCCGTAGAGATGAGCGCTCAGGACAGGGACAGTACTCCTGAAGGTCTTCCCCCAACAGCTGCCTTCCTCTCCAGAGCAGGAGTCACCTGAGGCGGCTACACTGCTGGCCCACCCCCTGCTCTCTACAGGGCATGAGGGTGGCCCTTGGGCAAGCCTTCCTCCTGTGCCTCCAGCTGCCTCTCTTCTCCCCGCAGCGACACTGGCCAAGGAGGGTGGAGAGCTTGGCCGGGTGGGGAGGAGAACCCAGGGTGTGTGTGGGGTCTCCTTGTCTCCCCCGTCCCTGCCTGGTCTGGCTGGGTGACGGTTCTTGAGCCAGCTCTGACCTCGGCTAGAGAAGCTGCAGGAGTGGAGCTCAGTTTCAGGGGAGCTCTTTGAGGCTTCCCGCCTCGAACGAGGTTTCTTTCATGACAGCACCCACCGGCAGCCATACTTCCTGTGGGCCAGAACCTCCCCGCTCCTGGGATGCCTGCTCCTCCCAGAGTAAACATGATCAGCAGAACCAGGATCCCCGAGTGAGCGCCCTCTTGCTGTCTTCCCAGTGACTCGGGCCTTCACTTTCCTAGAAGACACGCAGAGAAGTTTGTCTCTGGAATTGGAGGATTAGCAAGTAGGCCCTCTTGTTCTGGAAGGCACTGGCGGCTGGGCCCGCTGGGGTTTCTTAAAGCTCATTCTCGAACAAGGCCCCAAAGAGGTAACCTTGTCTCCTCTAGGAGAAGAGGGGCTGAGGGGCTCCACTCCCTCACATCCCCCCCCAGAGCAGGCTGGCTCCACCCCTCTCCTCTCACCAACACCTCTGACCCAGGGCCCCTGTCCCCTTGCTGCGGGGCCCCGCGCTCTGTGTGTCTGACCCGCGCAGCGGCCCAGGTGTGCGTGCTCCCTGGGGCAGCAGTCTCGGTCCTCCCCCCGAGGCTCCGGCTGTGCCCTCTTGGTCTCCTTCGTAGAAGCCTCTTTCTCGGCGTGACCACGGTGGGGGGTTTCTCACAGCTCTGTTCTAGGCTCTCTCTCCTCCCGCTCTCCCGCACAGTCTCGTCTGCCTGGCTGTGGGTCCTCCTCCCCTTCTTAGCTAGGTGCCCACTCGCTGCCTTCTCTCCCCTAAATCTCAATCTGTAGTCCCAGCCTCTCCCAAGTTCTGGACCATTCTATCCAACTTCACGTCTACCCTTAAGTGTTTCCAGGCAAGAATTAATACCAATCCTTCTCAAACTGTTCCAAAAAATAGAAGATGAGGGGACACTTCCCAACTCATTCTATGAGGTTAACATTACCCTGATACCCAAACCAAAGACATCAGAAGAAAAGAAAACTGTAGACCAAGATTGTTTATGAAAATAGACACAAACAGTCAACCAATATTAGCAAACCAAATCCAGCCACATAAAAAAAGTATTATCCACCATGATCAACAGGGATTTACCCCAGGAACGCGAGGTTTGTTTAATATATGAAAATGAATCAATGTAACTTATAAACGATAGAAACCACATGCTCTTTTTTTTTTTTTTTTTTGAGGAAGATGAGCCCTGAGCTAACATCTGCTGCCAATCCTCCTCTTTTCGCTGAGGAAGACTGGCCCTGAGCTAACATCTGTGCCAATCCTCCTCTACTTTATATGTGGGACGCCTGCCACAGCATGGCTTGACAAGTGGTGTCATGTCCACACCCGGGATCCGAACTGGTGAACCCTGGGCTGCTAAAGTGGAATGTGCACATTTAACTGCTGTGCCACTGGGCCGGCCCCAATGCTCATCTTAATATAAGATCAAAAAAAGCACTTGACAAAATCTAACACCTATTCATAAAAAAACCCAAAACCTCTCAGCAAACTAGGAGTGGAGGGGAACTTCCTCAACATGATAAAGAACATCTGCAAACATTCATAGCTAACATCATACTCAGTGGTGAAAGACAGGATGCTTGTCCCCTAGGATCAGGAGCAAGACAAGAATGTCTGCTCTCACTACTTTCATTTGACATTGTATTGGAGGTTCTAGCCAGGGCACTTAGGCAAGAAAATGAAATAAAAGGCATCCAGATTGGAAAGAAAAAAGTAAACTATCTCTATTTGCAGACTACATGATCTCATATATGAAAAACCTCAAGGAATATGCTTAAAAACTATGAGAACTAATAAGAGTTCAGTAAAGTTGCAGGATACAAGATAAATATACAAAAGTTTTCTGTACACTAGCAAGAACAATCCAAAAATGCACTTACGAAAACAATTCCATTTACAATAGCATCAAAAAGAATAAAATACCTAGGAATAAATTTAACAAAAGAAGTGAAAAACTTGATTGCTGAAAACAAAACCTTATTAAAAGAAATTAAAGAGGACCTAATAAATGGAAAGACATCCCATGTTCCTGGATCAGGAGACCTAGTATTGAGATGGCAATAAGTATCTTCATGCAACTCAAACTCTCTCTGTCCCAAACGGTGCTTTGCTCCTCTCCCATGCCTGCCCTTTTCCAGTGCAGCTTGTCTCCGAATTGGTGCACCTTTGCCCACATGCTCAAGCCAGAGTCACCCTCGGCCCCTTCCTTCAGAAGTCTAATTACTCAAGTCTTGCTACATCTGACTGCTGGCTTCTGTTCTGCCATTCCCTTCTCTTCTCCTCTCCACTGCTGACTTGCCTGCATTGCTCTGAAAGTCTCCTGGTGGGTGTTCCTGCCTCCCTGTCCTCTTCCCAGCACAGGCAGCAAATCTGATCCTCTCACTTCCCTGCTGAAACTCTCAGGGACTCAGGATCCCAAAGCATCTAAGGCCTGCAGGGCAGGCGCCTGCACACCTTGCCCTCCCCGTCGCCCACTGTTCTCCCACACACAGGCCATGTCTTGGCATCCCCAAACATGTCTCACACCCTTGCCTCGTGTCTTCCCACACGTTGTCCCTTCTGTTATCCAGCTAAATGACCTCCTCCTTCGGTCATGGGAGGCCTTCCCTGACTCCGAGGCTAGGCGGGGCTCTCTGCAGGTCGCTCCTGCAGTATACACAACGTGTGGAGGAGCAGTGTGTAGACTTGGTGTCAGGCAGGGCTGCTTCAGGCTTTGTGCCCACTCCCTATTTCCTAAGTTCCCTTGCTGAGCTTCAGTCCCCTCCCTTGTGAAATGTGGTTAATTCTAGTCCTTCCACAGAGGGTGGTTCTGTGGCTTGAGTGAGAGAACGCACTTACCCCGGGCAGGGAAACAGCAGGCCACACTACATGCTGGCTGTCACCGCCAGGGTTTCATCGTGTTTCCTCCATCCACTATGGGCTCTGTTCAAGGCTATCTCCTTGCAGTGGCTGGCACATGACAGGCACTCAAAAATGTCAGCTGAAGGAGTAAACTGGGGATGACGGACTGGTCATGTGAGTGTGCCTTCAGAGTGTGATTTTTCTGATGCTGGTTGGGCCTCCCCCAAATCACTTCAAGGCACCTGAAACTTTGTCTAAAGACACAAATCATTTATTTTGGTCTGAGAAGAAGGAAGAGGAAGGAGCGGCTTCAGGACCCCCTGCAGACACACAGCCCAGGGGTGGCCTATACTTGACCGCTAAAAGGACTCTAACCCTGGGACCCAGCTTCTAAGAACATCCCAGTGGCAGACAGACTGGTGGGGGCTGCAAAGAGCTCGGCAAGGAAGGAGGTTTCCTTTCCATCTGCCCTCTGGGGGTGCTGGCTGGCTGCAGCCAGACGGTGCTGAGTGGTGGGGAAGCCTGTTCTCAGCCCCACCACTGGTCCAGGCAGGAGCCAAAGCTTCCACCCACGGGCAGCTTTGGCTCCAGCGGCCTGTGAGGTCACCACCAGCAGGCAAGGCCCCTGTGGGTGGGAACCGCAGTGTCACAGGGACACTTACACTACATGGCAGCTTTGTAGCAGGGCCATACCTTTGAAAAGGAGGAGAGAACAAAGCAAACAGAGGTTGGGTATTGGAAGGAAATGGGGCCATCAAAGTAAACACAAGCAAAAATCCCAAATATATCTAGAGATAAAAAGCCAAAATTAAATTTAAAGTGAAAGTCAGTGTTTATGCAGTAGAGCCATTTGGAGAAAATGACTCATTTTGTAAAGGAACAGATGTTCTCATTTGCATAGTCTCTGCAATCATGAAAGGACTTTACTCTGTCCTGTCTGCACGCATGTCCTGCAGCTGGTGGCACCTGACGTGTGACACTGAGGGAGCGTTTTCACGAGTTTAATCCCTGGTCCTGTATCTGTGGGTCTCCTGGTAGGAAAGCCTTCCCCCTTTAGTGATGAGGAGTCTGAGGCGGCTGTGTTCTGTCTGCTCTTCCCAGACGCCCCTGGGCCCAGCTGCTTTAGGAGTAGTAAATGTGGCAGAGGATTACGATCGCTATCAAGAAGAATGCGCTGATATTGGCAACTTTTCTCCAGAAGGGCGTCTGTGATGTGTCACAACGCTTTGTCCCTTCCCACTTGGCACTGTGTGCTGTCCCTTCAGATGTGGCACTGTGTTCTGTCCCTTCAGATGTGGCACTGTGTTCTGTCCCTTCAGATGTGACACTGTGTTTTATGCCTCCAGATGTGGTGCCACGTTCCATCTTCTCCACGGCTGCCTCTTTGGGGGCCAGTTTGGGGCCAGGCTGCGGCTCCAGGCCACAGAACACATCCCAGGCCTTCCAGAGGCAGCTCTGCGCCTCCTTGAATACCTCTGGAACAAGGGAAGAGGCCAAGGTCAGGAGGCACAGGCCACAGCGGGGAGGACTTTCTAGGGGGGTCACGTCTCAGCAGTGAGTCCAGCAGGGAGACTGACAGACTTGCTCCTAATATGAACAGTCTCAGCCCCTGATGCGGAAAACCTACCCCACCCTCCGAGACCCGGGAGAGTGGGGTGAGGGACGAGGGGAGTGTGGCAGGGGCAGAGTGGGGGCTGCCTGGGGCCACGCTTGCCTTCCACCAGCAGAGCCTTCACCTAGGCACAGATCCCTCGATGGGGCGGGAGAGGTGTTGAGGGGGCCTCCACTGTCATAGAAGCAGGTCCTTCCTGGTGTGCCCCCAGTGTGCCCACGCTTCCTGTCACAGGCACATGGGTGAACACGGCTCTATGGGTTTAGGGCAAGTGGCTACTCCTCTGAATCTTCCTCCCCAGTTGCTCCTCTCCAGAGGATGGAAGAAACCCTCTGATTTCTGGAAACAGACACTGCTCTCCTTGGCAACCTCTTGGGGAGTACCTTCTCCAGGCAGGTACCAGTCTCATGGCCTGGCCTAAAATAAGACTCTCCGGGCCCTTGAAGGGGAATCACTGGTGTTTTCCAGGAGGCAAAGGAAGGAAGTCTAGGAATTATAGGAAAGTTTACGCTCATTTGTCTAGGCCAAATTGGTGAGAATGCCTAACTCTGGAGCTGACACATTGCTTCCGGGTCTGTCAGTACAGCGTGTGCTGGCTTCTCCTCAGGCCTGCTCAGGAGATCAGCACCATGGCCAGCTCCAGCACACCCACGTGGGCCCCAGCCTCTGCCTTGGAACAGTTCCCTCCTTGATGACAAGACAGCACATCTCAGTCCCAAAGTGAGCGGGCTCCCAGCACAGTGCGCTGTGATAAGTGTCTCATCCCACTGGGCACCCCCTACGCCAGCTGTGTCCTGAGGCTGAGGCGGCACCAGGGATGATGGAACACATCAGCCAGGGACAGAGGAGCCCCTGTTGCAAGAGGAGGGTGGCTGCAGCTGGAAGACCCCAAAGGCAGGGACACAGCTATCTGCAGGTGGTGCTGAGAAGTCCTGAGCAGCACACTCTGGCCCCATTCTCTCAGATAGCCATGTTGTCACACCATCATGCAGCTGCCAGGCCCAAAGAGGCTGCTGTATGTAAAAGGCAACTGATCGTTTGACTACAGCCCAAGGGCTGTGTGATAGGCGGTGGGCAGGCCAGTGACCAAGAGTACACATTTTGGAGTCAGACTGCCTGCGTTCAAATCCCAGCTCCACCACTGCCTGGTTATCTATGGAGCCCAGGGTAAGTTACTTTACTGTTTGCTGCCTCAGTTTCCTCACATCTAAAATGGGGATAACATTTGTACCTATCACACATGGGTATAAGTTCGACAGTGCCTGGCACATCCCAAATGGGCTATAAATGTTGGCCACTGTCACCATCATCATCCACCCACAACAGTGGAATAAGGAAGAAGAGGAATTTGGATGTGCCCTAAGAACAAGCACCTGGCACACTGTGGGCAGCCAGTTTACCAGCGCCCCCCTTACAGAAGAGAAACTCCCAGGACCCCTGCGTCCTCCAGGTGTGTGGGGCAGCTCTGCTTAGGAGAGGCCGCTCCCCTGCTCCCCACCCGCCCCTGCAGAAGTCCAAGGAGCCCATTCCAACCCAGGGTCTCCTCTGCAGCTGTCAGGAGGGTGCCCCAGGGCCTCCTTGGGCTCTGAACTTCGCTGGCATGAATGGAGCGGGGGCCCCAGAATGCTGCCTTCTCCCCAGGCAGGTCATTCCCTCCCTCCCCCAGACTCATAGCCTCCCCAGCACCCTCTGCCCAGACTCAGGACTAATCTCATTAGGCTTTTATCCCTGTCTGCGTCAGGGCCCCAAGAAGCTAAGGTCACCCTCCCCTGTGGCCCCAACACTCCCTTTCTGACCCCATCTGCTGAAACCCTTCCTCTAGGGCCTCAGGCCCCATAGAGTCCAAGCCTCTCCTGGAACATTCTCTCTCTTCTTGCTGGGACTGAAATCTAGTTGTCCCTGGACCTCTTTCCCCTGGTGCCCTCTTAGATGGGGCTGCTTCCTCCCTTCCCCCTTACAGACCATCTCCTGCCCCCCTTCTGAGAAATCCTCTCCTCTTGAATCCCTGTGTAAGGCCCCCTCCCCCTTTCATGTGGCTCCACTTCACTCCACCAGGTTGCTCTGGTCGAGGCACGACATGATCTCTGTGTGGCGAAATCCCACGGTCAGTTCTCAGGCCCCATCTTTCTTCACCCATCAGCATTTATCTCAATGGATCACCCCTGCACCCCCAAAAGCTTCTAGGTCAGCAAACACTTCTGTTTTTCACCCCTTGGCTGGCTCCCCCGCCTCCCCCTGCACCAACCCTCCCGGGGCCGGCCTTGTCTCCTGCTGCTGTCTCTCACATAGATCTCTCCAGACCAGCCTGCTCCATGTAGATGTCCAACAGGCATCTCAACCTCAACAAACCCCAAACATCCCCGAAGGCAGCTTAGGAAAAACGAAAGTCAGGGGCTCTGCCTGGAAGAGCATTTCTGGGAGTGGAGACGGTGGGGCAGGGGTGCTGGGGAGGCAGGACCCCTTCTGCGGGCTCTGGATCTTCCTTCTCACCTGGCTGTGCTTGGGGTGCGGGTCTCTTCCTTTGTGTCTCTGCATCCAGATCGACCCTTTTCTCTTGGCTGTTTCGTAAACTCCAACAGAGCCGGTAGAGCTGGGGGGAGAGCAGGGGCATGTCACCACCCAAGGCCCTGTCATGCAGGCCTATGGTACCGGGAAGCTGGGCACCAGGATCTTGATGGACTAAAAAAAATCTGGTGGTTAGCCTCCAATGAAAGACACAAGGAACGTGGGACAGGGAACGGGTGACACTCGGGAACTCTGGATTTCAGTTGTGGCCGTGGCAAAGGTGACATAACCTGCCTGGGCCTCAGTGTCCTTCACCTGAAAAGCAAAGGGTAGGAGGCCACATGCTCAGGGATCCTTCCAGCTCTGAGGGTCCAGGAACCTGTGCCCTCGGGTGGAAGAAGCTGCCCCTCACCCCTGGGCTGCTGCTTCTGGTGGAGGAGGAAGCCTCTCACCTGATGAGGACAGGGCAGCCCCAGGAGCTGCTTTCCCTCCAGAAGCCCCTACTGGCCGCCTGAGACGAGCAGTAACTCAGCCTAGGAAAGGCTTTATCTGGTTTACCTGGCCCTCGCCCAGCTCAGTTGCCCAAGCTCAACAGGGCTTTTGATGATGCAGAAGGAGAACATTCCTTCCTTTTTGGACTGTGATTTTCTTCTCTTCCTGAAAACATATATGGAAACTTTGGGGAGCAACAAAATCCAGCCAATTGCTGCTTTTTTTTTTTTAAGGGTTAGGGTCAGCAGAGGCACAACTAAGTGAACATTTCCACCAAGTCTCTCCTGGAATAGACTTTAATCTCTTATAGCAGCCTCAGTATATTTGAATCTCAGTGCCCTTCCCCTGCAACATACGGCAGGGATGTGGACAAGCGGGGCTGAGCCCCCTCCCCAGCCAGCCTCCTCCAAGACCCGCGCTGGCCCCACCTCTCAGACTACATGTTGGAACTAAAATTCTCTTGTGTTAATGACAGAGCTTGGATTTAGCCTCTCATTGCTTCCTGAGGACGCCATATGTATGCATTTGCCTTCCCGACTGCACTGTCATCGCCCTGTGGATGGCCGGGGTTCCTGTGCTGTCCCGCCTCCTCTGGGAGTGGTAAGCAGAGGGCCTGGCACACTGACACTGACCCATAAACACTGATTTCTCTCTTCATCTCCCCCTCCCATGTTCTCCAGAGCACCTGGCATACTGCTAGGCACGTGGGAAATGCTGAACAAGTATCTGGCTAACTAAGAAGGGGGCAAAATCAAAAAGTTGAGAGTACGAGAAGAACAGAAAAGAACGCAGACAATCTGACTAAGACCCTGAGCAACAGGAAACTAAGTCCACCACCCCCAGCTTCTCAAGGTGCTGCGAGCAGGGAAGGCTCCCTGCTGTCACTGATGCAGGGGGATGTGTGGGGGGCATGTACCTTCCAGACCACTCTGGCTGTCCTCCCATCTGCTCTGTCCCTCTTCCAAGTGGGCTCTGTGCACGAGAGAGGAATGAATCAAATGGCAATTACTGAGCAGAAAGCATGGCCATAAGGAAAGCCCAAGGTTGAACTGGGGACCCTGAGGCTGTCTTCCAGGTCTTCGGCTTTTACCTAGACCCCAGGCAAAGTCGCAAGAAAGGCCCATGGTCTCATAGACCCATCTCCCTCTGAGCTCCTCCCTCCACTTCAGACACCCAGGACCCTCCCTGCTGCTTTCCGGCTCTGCCAAGTTCCTGTCCTGCTAAGCCTACTGGCCATGCCAAAGTAGGTGACATGGTGGAGCCAGGTTGGAGCCCAGCCCTGCTACTTAATAGTTTTGGTACCTTAGGCAAATGACTTGACTTCTTTGAGCCCAGGCTTTCTAATATCTCAACTGAGGCGACTGACACCTGCCTCCTGGCTGGTGGGAAATGCTGGGCAAGGAGAGGCTGAGAAGCATCCAGCCCCAGCAGGCCACAGGCAGCTGCCAGCATTAAAGTCCCCTCCTCCTTGCTGTTGACTTAATTCTCTCTGGGTGGGTGGCAGCCGGGACTGCCCCGATAACATTAATTCATACTGAGGTAGTGATCTTAACACTTCCAAGGAAAATTTGCATTTTAAAAGTCATACTTCTCATTGTAAGTGAATACCTAATTGGTGGATTGTTGGAAATCTTTTTAGGGGGGGCCCTGTGGCCGAGTGGTTGAGTTTGCGTGCTCCGCTACTGTAGCCCAGGGTTTTCGCTGGTTCAGATCCTGGGCGCGGACATGGCACCACTCACCAGGCCACATTGAGGCGGTGTCCCACGTGCCACAACTAGAAAGACCTGCAACTAAAATATACAACTATGTACTGGGGGGATTTGGGGAGAAAAGTCAGAAAGGGGAAAAAAAAAACAAGATTGGCAACAGTTGTTAGCTCAGGTGCCAATCTTTAAAAAACAAACAAAAACAAAATCTTTTTAGTTTAGTTTTGTTTTTAAGGCAGGGCCCTTTCTGTGGCATTTGCCTATTTCTGACCACCCCCCACCTCCGCCCCCGACTCCCTTTTTCAAAGAGAAGGCAGGAATGCACACTATTCTATTCTCTAAGGCCAGCAGAGCTGAGTCCTGCTCACGGGGACACACTGGGCCTGCAGGCTGGCCCCAGAACCTCTAACAGCAGCACTTACGTGTTTATCTGGAATCGGGTCTGTGAATAAGGAGATCGCCAGCATGGTGAGAAGGCTGACTAGGAACAGGCTTATGGCAAAATAGAGGTAGTGCAGGCTGCAGATGATCAGAGGGCACTTGTTGTTTGCTGGGCAGCTCCAGGTTCCGTAGATAAACTCCAATATCATTCGAAAGAAGCCAAGCAGAAGTCCCCCAGTCAGCCCCCAGAAGGCACCCTGCCAAAGGAGGAGCCCCGAGAGAGTCATTTGGAAGGAAGATGGGTGATGAGACAAACCATCTTCAGCCTCCCCTCCCTGACTAGTTGAGTTCTAAAGTTAAACGTCATAAAAGGGCGTCAGATACCTTGCGGAAGCAGTGTACGCACAGTGAGGAGATGAGACCTTTAGCTGAACAAAGACCTGAGAACTTACATTCTCTTACGTTAATCAGAGAACTTAAGAAACACTGGAAACACTTTAAAGTTAGATAATGAATAGGCATCACACATGTAAGGTGTCTAAAAAGACCTCGGTCTTCCCCACGGCTGTTAAGTGGCACGTCCATCTGCCTGGTTGCTCAGGTGGAAACCCCAGGAGTCATCCCTGGTTCCTCTCTTTCCATCCTGCCCTACCACCAACCCATCAGCAAATTGTGTTGGTTCTACCTGCAAAATGTACCTGGAATCCAACCCCTTGCCATCATCATTACGGCACCACCCTAACCCTGAACCGTCTTCTTCTCTCACACAGAGGTGGGCTCCCTCCCTGGTATCCTGCTTGCCCACTGTCCCCACAGAAGCCAGAGTGACAACTTCAAAGCATATACTGGAGAATGCCATGCCTCTGCTTAATTAAACTCTCCAATGGCTTCTCATGGTCCACATCAGAATCAAATCTCAACTCCGCTCTTCAGTTGACCCCTTTTGTCTGCCACTCTCTCCTTGGTCACTCCACTTCAGCCACTGCCTGCGACCTTCTTCCTGCATGTTAAACCTACCCACTTCGCTCGTGGCTTAGGCCTTTGCACTTGCCCTTCTCTCTGCTTGGGTCTCTCCCTAGATCTTTTTATTTCTGGCTCATCCTTCAGGGTTTAGACTCAATGGCACTTTCTTAGGAGAAGTCTTCTCCCATGACCTTGGCTAATGTCCTTGTGTCCCCCACGGGCCCCAGCACCTGCCCTGCCACCCTCCATGATCTTTCTTTTTTTTTTGTGAGGAAGATTGATCCTGAGCTTATATATGTTACCAATCTTCCTCTTTTTGCTTGAGGAAGACTGTTGCTGAGCTAACATCCATGCTAATCTTCCTCCATTTTGTATGTGAGATGCCACCACAGCACGGCTTGATGAGCAATGTGTAGGTCCACACCCAGGATCCAAACCTGCAAACCCTGGGCCACTAAAGCAGAGCACACAAACCTAACCACTATGCCACGGGCCAGCCCAAGACTGTCCCTTCTTTAATAGAGAGTAAGGACTGCATCTTGCCTCTGGAGCTGTATCTGGAGGCTGACTCAGGTGGGCATGGATGTCAGAAGAGACAGAGGATACAGTACGTGGGCAACATCTTGGATAAAAAGCTGAAAACAAAAGCCAAGCGGATGGTCCACGGGAGCCACTGATTGAAGGAGATGTGCAGACAGGGAAGATCTAGAAACAGATGGGCAGCAGAAGCCAGATGAGCAAGTCACCTGAAATAGGGTGGGAAAGAGGGCCTGGAGAAGTTCTCTAGGTTGAAGGAGGTACCTGTAATATTCTTGTAACTGTGGACCAGGGGTTGAGGGAGAGGCACTGCCCAGATCCCCAGTTTTCCTTGGTGGCAGGCCCCAATAATTCAAAGTTGGCGTTGTAGGTGGGAGGCAGGTTCTCCTGACTGCCTGCCCCTCTTGCCCATGCCCTTCCCAGGAGGGCAAAGAGAAGCAGCTCTGGCATCTCTGGAGGCCAGCCACTCTCCCCCACATTCTCAGTGCTAAATTGAGTGCTGGTGAGCTGGGCAGGGCAGGGAGCACCAGTAGTTTGGTCTAGAGGATTGAACACCTGAGAGGAGCCTGTAGGAAGCATCAGCCAGGTGAAGGAGGAAAAAGCTATTCCTGGCAAAGTAAATAGTCTATGTCAACGAAAGGAGGCCAAAGCAAGCAGGGGACAGTTAGGCAATCAGCACTTAGATTTCGGAGTGGCTGGGGCCCAGGGGCTGTGCATGTGGGGGCAGGGGCCAGATCACAGAGCACTTCAGAGACTGTGTTCAGGAACTTGTACAAGGCCCAACTACCCAGGGCTGATAGCGGAAACAAGTTAAGATATGATTCAAATAATAAATGAAAATATTCTGGCAAACTGTGCTTTCAAAGTCTTACGGATGAAATGACTGAACCATTCGCTATTATTCAGTTTTAAGTGTGGCTGGAAGAGGTGGTCTTTCCTGCAGGGAAGGTGGAAGGAGCCCATGACTGTATATCCCTCTGTGAGTATGAAATCTCCGAGCATGACACATCCATGTACAGAGGCAACAGAAGAATACTTTCCTACAGCCAGTTACATGTCCCGGAGGATCATGCACACTGTGCATCATCTAAGATGCAAAACCATGCACTGGTAAGGTTGAAAGTGGGTTACCCTGCAAGGGGAGAAAGCAAATCAGAGCTCGCCTTTTCCCGGCATGCATAACGGGGAGCTTGGACCAAATCTGCCCAGGAGGAGACCATCTCTCAGAAAGCAAATGATGCAACAGTGTGAACTCTTGAAGCATGAGAGACTCTCGTGGGACAGCCCTTGCAAAGACAAATCTGCTGTGAAGGCGAGTCCTCACACTGTCTACACGATGGCCGTGCCAACACACGCCTACCTGCTCAGTGACTCTCTTGGAAAAGACGGCGAGCAGGAAGATGGCAGCAATGGGTGGTGTCAGGTAACTCATAACTGCTTGCATGTATTCAAAGAGTTCTTCACTGTGTGCTGTTTCCGTAACAGGGACCCAGGCAATGGTGACAACAAGTAAGATTATAACAAAAAATCTGTAAATGAAACCAACAGTCAATGCCGATTTGATGAGTCTTTTTTTTTTCCCTGCCAATAAAACATCTACAGACCATAAACTATAAACTCAATGATTGCTTATGTTAAATTCAGGTGTGCATTCATAGTAGGACCATAGGGCTACAGACAAAAATCCTTCAACTTCTAAACAAATAAAACTGAGTGTCCATTTGCCTGTCATTGGATCATGGGTGGATCATTTTTACCATATTTGGAGAGTATCTTTGGGGCAGTCATGCTTAAAATATATAATATGTAGAAAATATTAATTTCTTGAGGGATAACACATTTTTTAAAATTTCAGACAGATTAGTATGGCATGTGACTTTAAAAATTTCAGTAATCAGAAACTTACTTTATTATCTAAGTCTTGCTGAAAATTTTAAGAAACTGAGTAAAGGCTCCAAATATCCATTACTTCTTTTTTTTGCTGAGGAAGATTTGCCCTGAGCTAACATCTGTGCCAATCTCCCTCTATTTTGTATGTGGGTTGCTGCCACAGCATGGCCACCAACAAGTTGTGTGGGTCCGTGCCTGGGAATTAAATCCAGGCTGCTGAAGCAGAACGTGCTAAAGTTAACCACTAGGCCATGGTGCTGACCCCTCCCCTACTTTTTAAAAATAAAATACTTTTTAACGTGTATCCATATATAAAATTACACTTAGATAAAATATCCCCCAAAGATGAATAAATCTTAGTTCTGTGTCAAGAACTTAAAAATTATAATTTTGAGAGAGTGAGTGTTTTAAGCTAGAAAGGACTAATTCTTTTTTTTTTTTTTAAAGATTGGCACCTAACAACTGTTGCCAATCTTTTTTTTTTTCCCTGCTTTTTCTCCCCAAATCCCCCCAGTACAATCTAGAATTCTATATCCAGCAAAAATATCCTTCAACAATAAAGATGAAATAAAAACATTTTCTGATAAAAACTGAGAGAATCTGTCACCAGCAGACCTGCATTACAAGACATGCTGAAGAAAGTTCATCAGGGTGAAAGGAAATGACACAGATGGAAACTCAAACCTCAAAGAAGGAATGATGAGCACCAAAAAAGTAAAAACATATGGGTAAATATAAAATACTATATATATATTTTTTTTCTTATTTTAATTTCTTTAAAAAGGCAATTAACTACTTAAAGCGAAAAATTCTATCACTCTCACTGTATTGTGGGGTTCATAATGTATGCAGATGTAAAATATATCACAACCATAACACAAAAGATGGGAGGGGAAATGGCAGATACTCTTGGCTTCTCCCAAGAGCATGCTAAAAAATGCACAGATGATTGCACAACTCCTGAAGAATTTGGGGATTACAGAATATGAGCCAAAAGTTATAAATCACATGTTGGAGTCTGTATTCTGATATGTGACCACCATTCTAGATGATGCAAAAATTTATTTAAGTCACACTAAGAAAGCTACTGTTGAGGTGGAGTGGCAGTTGGCAAACCAGTGTCCCACTGACTGCTCTTCTCTTAGAAAAGCTGTATTGTTTTACCTTTCGCACTCAGATATACAGTCCATCTGAAATAGATTTTTGTGTATGGTGTGAGGTAAGGGTCAATATTCTTTTCCCATGAGCAGCCAAATCACTCAGTACCATTTATTGAAAATCCTTTTTCCCTATCACTTTCCTGACTGCACTGCACTGTAATCTTGCCATAAATCAGGTGACTGTAGACCTGCGGGCCTTTTTCTGCATTCTGTTCCACTGATTTGTCTATACTCGTACCAAAACCACACTAAGTAGTATCCCTTCATAATAGACACTGGCGTCTGTTAGTATGGATCCTCCAGCTTTGCTCGTCTTCAAGAACTGCCTTGGCTATTCTTTGCTGTTCGCATTTCTCTATTAGTTTTAGAACTGGTCTGTCATTTTTTACGCACACAAAAAGCTACTACAATTCTGAATTGTAATCCAGAGTAATCCAGGATTACTCTGAATATGTAGAATAACATGGGCAGAACAAACATATTGTCAATACTCAATCTTCTAATTCATGGATATGGTATATTCCCGTACATACTTAGGTCTCAATTTCTCTCAACAGTGCTTTGCAGGGGCGGGCCCCTGGGTGTAGCAGTTAAGTTCAGCATGCTCCGCTTTGGTGGCCTAGGTTTGTGGGTTTGGATCCGGGGTGTGGACCTACACCACTCGTCAGCCATGCTGTAGTGGCAACCCATACACAAAAAATAGAGGAACACTGGCACAGATGTTAGCTCTGGGTGAATCTTCCTCAAGCAAAAAAAAAAAAAAGAGGAAGATTGGCAACAGATGTTAGCTCAGCATGAATCTTCCTCAGCAAAAAAAGAAAAAGAAAAAAGAAAAGAAAAAAACAATGCTTTGTAATTTTCTCACATCTTTTGTGAGATTTATTACTAGGTATTTATCATATGGTTCAATGACACTGTAAATGATAATGTGTAAAATATGATTAATTCTTGTATTTTGACCTTGTATCAGTCTTGTTAAATTCACTTTTAAATTTTAAGTTTGTCTACAAAGTCTTTTACAACAATTTCATTTCTTCTATTTCTATCTGTATGCCATTTGTTTCCTTTTCTCCTCTTACACTCTGGGTGGGACCTCTAGTACAATGCTGAATAAAGGTGATAGTGGACATACATGTCTAGTTCCTGATCTCAGGGGAAAAGATTTTCATTTTCACGAAGTATGAGAAATACTATAGGCTTTAAAATGTATATATATTTAAGAGTCAGAGTAATGGAGTTCCTCTAAATTCCCTAATTTGATAGGATTACAAAAAATATAGATATTAAAAATTTTAAATGATTTTTATCTAGTGTGATGACTGTATGATTTTCTCCTGTTTCTACTTAATGTGGTCAAGTACATTGATTTTTGAATAAAACGCTATTCTTGCATTCCTGGAATAAACCCCCGATGGTCATGGTGTATAATTCTTTTTATATGTTGCTGGACCTGAGTTGCTAATATTTTGTTTAAAATTTCTGCATCTATGTTCATAACTGCATGGTATGTATTTTACCATGTTTTCTTTAAGCCTTTCTCAATCTTATTTTAGAAAAGATATCTCTCTTCAATAAAGTTGCAGGGTACAAAATCAACATACAAAAATCAATAGTGTTTCTATATACTAACAATGACTTACCTGAAAAAGAAATAAAGAAAATCCCACGTATAACAGCATCAAAAACAATAAAATACTTATATAAATAAACAGAAAGATATCCTGTGTTCGTGGATTAGATGAATTAATATTGTTAAAATGTCCATACTACCCAAAGCCATCTATAGATGCAATGAAATCCTTATCAAGAGTCCAATGACACTTTTTTTCTGTGAGGAAGACTGACCCTGAGCTAACATCGGCTGCCAATCTTCCTCTATTTTGTATGCGAGATGCCACCACAGCACAGCTTGATGAGCGGTGTGTAGGTCTGCACCTGGGATCTGAACCTATGAACCCTGGGCTGCCAAAGCAGAGTGCACAAACTTAACCACTATGCCACTGGGCCAGCCCTTCCAATGACACTTTTTATAGAAATAGAAAAAAATCCTAAAATTTGTTTGCAACCATAAAAGGCTCCGAATAGCCAAAGCAATACTGAGAAGGAAGAACAAAGCTGGAGGCATCACACTTCCTGATTTCAAACTATATTACAAAGCTATAGTAATCAAAACAGCATGGTATTGGCATAAGAATAGACACATAGAGCAATGGAACAGAGTTGAGAGCCCAGAAATAAAGCCATTCATATACAGTCAACTAATACTTGAAAAGGGAGCCAAGAATATTCAATGCAGAAAAGAGAGTCTCTTCAATAAATGGTGCTGAGAAAACTGGATATTCATATTGAAAAGAATGAAACTAGACCCCTATCTTACACCACTCACAAAAATTAACTGGAAATGGATTAAAGATTTAAGCATAAGATGTGAAACCATAAAACTTCCAGAAGAAAACACACGGGATAAGACCTGACATTGGTCTTGGCAACAATGTTTTGGACATGACACCTAAAGCACAAACAACAAAATAAAAAACAAACAAGTGAGACTATAGCAAACTAAAAAGCTTCTGCACAGCAAAAGAAACAATCAACAAAATGGAAAGGCAACCTACCGAATGGGAGAAAATATTTGCAAACCACACAGATGATAAGACTTAATATTGAAAATATATTAGGAACTCATATAACTCAACAGCAAAAAATCAAATAATCCAATTAAAAACTGGGTGGGCCAGCCCCAGTGACCTAGTGGTTAAGTTCAAGCATGCTCTGCTTTGGCAGTCCTGGTTTGGTTCCCAGGCGTGGACCTACACTGCTCTGTTAGCAGCCATGCTGTGCTGGTGATCCACATACTAAAAAACAGGAAGATTGGCACGGATGTTAGTTCAGGGCAAATGTTCCTCAGAAAAAAAAAAAAAAAGAAAAAAGAAAAAGAAAGAGAAAAAGAAAAAAAAAGGGCAAAGGACCTGATAGACATTTTTCCAAAGAAAACACTCAAATGTCTAACAAGTAAGTGAAAAGGTGCTCAACATTACTAATCATCAGGGAAATGCAAATCGAAACCATGAGGAATCACCTCACACCTGTCAGAGTGGCTGTCATCCAAAACACAAGAAGTAAGTGTAGTGAGGATGTGGACAAAACGGAAACCTTGTGCACTATTGGTGGGAATGTAAAGTGGTATGGTCACTATGGAAAACAGTGTGGAGCTCCCTCAAAAAATTAAAAATAGAAGTACTGTATGATCCAGCAATTCCACTTCTAGGTATACGTCCAAAGGAAACAAAACCACTATCTTGAAAGGATATCTGCAGCCCCATATTCATTGCAGCATTATTTACAGTAGCCAAGACATGGAAACAACCTAAGTGTGGATAAAGAACATGTGGTATATATACACAATGGAATATTATTCACCCAGGAAAACAGGAAATCCTACCATTTGTGATAACATAGGTGGACTTTGAGGGCATTATGCTAAGTAAAATAAGTTAGACAGAGAAAGACAAACACTGTATAATCTCACGTCTATTTGGAATCTAAGAAACTGAACCCATAGACACAGAGAACAGATTGATGGTTGCCAGAGGTGGGGGTTGGAGGAATGCGCAAAATAGGTAAAGATGGTCAAAAGGTACAAACTTCCAGTTATAAGATAAATAAATCATGGAGATGTAAAGAACAGCATGGTAACTACAGTAACAATGCTATATTGTATATTTGAAAGTTGCTAAGAGAGTAAATCTTGAAAGTTCTCACATGAAAAAAATTTTATTACATAAGGTCATGGATGTTAATAAACTTGTGGTAATCATTTCACAATATATACATATATCAAATCATTATGTTGTACACTTTAAACTTATACAATGTTATATGTCAATTACTACTAAATAAAACTGGAAAAAAGGTGTCTATTCTAAGCAGCATATAGTTGGCTTAAAAATACTCTGATAATCTTAACCTTTTTTTCTTAGTATATTTTTTAATTAAATATATCTGACACATAACACTGTGCAAATTTAAGGTGTACAACATGCTAACTTGATGCATTTGTGGACTGTGACATGATGCCACTGCAGTGACAATTACACCTCTATCACGTCACATCATCACTCAGGTATTTAGTCCACTGACAGTCCATGAAATTACTGATATATTTGGGTTTACATGTGTCATCCTAGTATTTGTTTTCTATTTAATCTACCTTTTACATTCTTTTAATCCTTTTGACTTCTTTGGGGCTAATCAAATATTTTATTAGTTATTCCATATTTTCCTTCTATTAACTTGTTATTTGAAGATTCCTGAATTATTCTTTTATTGCTTAGTCTAGAGACTGCATGCATCCTTGTTATGTCATAGTCCGGAACAAGCTTGACTTTTACCACATCCCAAATAATTCTAGAACCTGAGAGTAAGTTCCATTTAGCCTCTTCTCATCTTCTCCTTATTGTCATATATTTTGCTTCTATATGTGAAAAGTCCTATGAACATTTTTTCCTTATTGATGTTTTTGACAGTCAATATTCATTTACAGTTACCCTTTGTGGTATGCTTCATTCTTCTCTGAAGTTCAGTTCTCCTGTCTGGGTTGCCTTCCTTCAGCCTGAAGAACCTCCTTTGGTTTTCCTTATAGTGAAAGTCTAATGTAATAAATGCTCTCAACTTGCATTTATCTGAAAATATATTTATTTCACCTTCATTTTGGAGAATATTTTTTTTAAAGATTTTATTTTTCCTTTTTCTCCCCAAAGCTCCCCAGTACATAGTTGTATATTCTTCGTTGTGGGTCCTTCTAGTTGTGGCATGTGGGACGCTGCCTCAGCATGGTTTGATGAGCAGTGCCATGTCCGCGCCCAGGATTCCAACCAACGAAACACTGGGCCGCCTGCAGCAGAGCACGCGAACTTAACCACTCGACCACGGGGCCAGCCCCTGGAGAATATTTTTGATGGGTATTGAATTCTAGGTTGGCAGTTCTTTTTCTAGTACTTGAAGTTGTCATTCCTTTGTCTTCTGCCTTTTGCAGTTTCTGTTGAAATTCTGCTGTCAGTCTCTTTGCTGTTCCTCTGAAGGTAATGTGAATCATTCTCCTCTGGCTGCTCTAAAGATTTTCTCTTTATCTTCAATTTTCAGCAGTTTCACTAGAACGTAGTCTACGTATGGTTTCTTTTGTATTTATCCTGCTTGCAACTCGTGGAACTTTTTGAATCTCTAGATAGTTGTCCAGGTATTTGGAAAATTCTTGGCCATTATCTTTTCAAAATTACTTCTACCCAATTTGCTCTTCTCCTTCTGTGATTCCAATCACATATATATTATTATTCTGATTGTATTCCATGTGTATCTTCCTTTTTTCTGTGTATTTCAATTTGGATATTGTTGATCGATCCATTTCCAATCCACTAATTGTGTCTTCTGCCAAATCCAATCAGTTGTTAACCCATCCATTGAGTTTCCAATTTTAGATTATTACTTTTGGATTCTAGAAAATTATATATATTTATATATTTATAAATTCTAATTCTCTGGTGAACTTCTCAATATTTTCATCTATTTTATACACTTTTCCCTCTATTTTCCTGTACATATTAATAATCATGGTTAAAGTCCCTGTCTGCTAACTTCACCTGTGGGTCTACTTTTTATATATCATAAATTTTACTTATATATTATATACATTTTTACACATATATATTAGTATAAATACAGTAGTGATGGGGACATGCTTGCCCTGTGTCTTTCTAGTTTCTTCATTAAGCACGATGGAGGCTTTCAGGGTGATATAGATATATTTTATCATGTAGAAAGGTGCCCATTTTACCAAACACCTTTTCATCATCCGTGAATAGACACAAATGATTTTTCTCTTTTGATCTATTAATATGGTGAGTTATATTATTACATTTCCTAATATTGAACCATCTTTATATTTCTGGAAGGTAACGGGATATCATTCTTTTAATATATTATTGGATTGGTGTCTAATATTTTATTTACAACTTTTGCAGTGGTATTTAAAAGTGAAATATGTCTTTAGTTTTAATTTTTTCCTGTGCTATATTTGTTAAGTTTTAGCATCAATATCTTGAGCTTCATAAAATGAATGTCTTCCTTTTTTCCCCCATGTTCTATAACAATTTAAATAAAACTGGAATCTGTTACTTAAAATTTCTCAGTGTGCTTTTAAACCATCGAATGCCAATGAAATTGTAAAGGCAAACTCAAATGCAGGGGTTAGACACAAAATAGATGAGCAACATGCACACTGATGTGAGATAAAGCAAGTATTTCAGACATAATGTGGGCCAACTTAAATATGTGTGGTTGGATGTGGTCAAGGGGCAGCCCATGTGAAACCCTACACAATAAAGACAGGGACCACGTTTTACACACATTTGTATCCCCCACCCTATGCCTTGCATAGTACCATGTGGCATCACAGTTAACAGCATGCCCCTGAGATGGACAAGTTCTCTTACTTAAGATGTGACCTCAGGTTGATCAATTCTCTTCTCTTTGTGACTTTATCCCCATTTGTACAATGAGAATAAAACTTTTTAAAGGTTGTCATGAGGACTAAATGAGATAATGTATGTAAATTTCCTCACAAGGACTAGTTTGGGGGGGTACATTAAACTATGCTCATTTTTCTTCTTTTGCTGAGGAAGATTCGCCCTGAGCTAACATCTGTGCCCATCCGCCTGTATTTCGTATGTGGGTTGCCGCCACAGCATGGCCACTGATGAGTGGTATAGGTCTGCAACTGGGAACTGAACCTGGGCTGCCAAAGCAGAGCGTCCCAAACTTAACCACTAGGCTATGGGGCTGATTCCAAACTACGTTCATTTTTATCATTGTGATTATTACTTAATTTTTTCCCAAACAGAAGCAATTTTCTTTGTGATTATAAAAACAATACATCTTCACTACAAAACTGCAGCAAAACAAACAAACAGTAACCACCATACTGTGTATAAACAGGATAATTCTCCAATAGTATTAGAAGGCTAACTTTTTCACATTATACTATATTGTGGGCCTCATTTCACTGAGAGTGGCAGGAACTAAAGTGATTAGAGGAATCCTTTACCTGCCTGTCACCATGAGCTCCTTTTCAGTGGCCGTGGGCCGTATTCGGGTATAGATGTCCATGGTGAACAGGGTGTTGGCAGAGTTGAAAATAGAGGTCAAGGAGGACATGAGAGAGGCCGATATTGCGGACAGCATCAAGCCGCGTACACCTGGAAGAGAAGGGACATTCCCTGGGCCTCCAGCTCTCCAGTCACACCAGGAGATGCCTTAGGCCTCCTAAGGAACTTTGCCACATGCTAAATTTTCCCCTACAAAACATTGAAATTTTATTTGGAATGGAACTCCATCTGAGATAGATGAATGCATTATATTTGTCCTTGCTTTGGGACAAGACTTACTGGTTTCCTGCTGTGTCTTTATATAATAATAGGAGCTAAGATCTCTTGAGTGGTTACTTTGTGCCAGAACGGTTCAGCACTAGCCTGCACGACTCTCCCTGCAGCCCTGTGGGAGGGACACCATTGCCACCCCCTCTGACAGAGGAGGAGCCAGAGGCTCAGAGAAGGTTCCAACTGTAGGCAAGTCATGTGGCTCCCTGTGCCTCAGTGTTCTCATCCGTAGGTGGGCATAAAAGTAGCTGTGACATAGGGCTGTTGCTAAGCCTAAGATGAATTAAGTACATGGGTTGAGGCGATGCCCAATGCAGAGCACTGAACAAATGTTAGCTATAAACATAACAATCTAGTATTATTCCCCAAAAGGCCATCCTGTGGCAGGGATTCTGCTCGGTCGGGAGATTTCTACGTATTGTTGGGAGAGCCTGAGGTTACGTACCCAGGGCCTGAACTGGAGCCCAGTCCTGCAAGGTTCCCACTGTATTCAGTGGGCTGCTCGGGCCAGGCAAAGACTGGAGTCCTTGGATTTGCCTTCCTTCAGGTGTCCCACAGCCCACTCTCACTCATGGAATTGGGGAACTGGGTGCTCTAAGATGGGCTCAGCTGGGGAATTCGGACAACTTCCTTCTCGAATTTGGACAGCTTCCTTTCTGAACTGTGAGATGGTCAGTATTTCTCTCCATCAGATTCCATCTATACTGTATGTAATGGAAATGTCTCAGCTTTTCCAGCCTAATGATCTCCAGAGCTGATATGGAATTGTTTTTTAACTGTACTGTTTGGCCATTTCCATGGGATTTGGGGAAGCAGGTGAGAGGAACGCACAGGCTCACTGTCATCTCGCAATGAACGTCATCTCACTGTTGGTGAACTGCCAGTCCCCTTGCCCATCCCACTGGACATGAGCTCATTGAGAGCAAAATTAGGTCTTGTTTGTCTGTGTATTCTCATGGCTAAGAACAATGTCCAGCACAGCCTGGAGGCCATCTGCAGAATGAAGGAGCAAACACTCAAGCTAAGCGGGGGGAAAGGAATAATGCAAATCATGCACACAGGTGGTGCTTCTGAGAGCATGTGTGTGAGGAGTGAAGAGGGAGGGGTCCGGATCCTTCCCTCAGGGCAGCAAGCCTCCGTCTACATCACTAACGTCCTCCCACCCACAGCCTGCCTTCTACCCAGAACCACGGGCTGACTGGTGGAGTAGACAAGCCACCCCTAGGCCCCTCACTCCCAGCCATCCACTTACAGCCTGTGGGCACGGGCTCCAAGGGGGACAGAGATCTTGGGGTTTCTGTGGCCCTCGAAAGCAGGGTCTATTTCTTACCATCGGGCAGCAGCTCTACCACCAGCACTGGGTAGGCGATGGGGCTACAGTCAGTTCTGGTGCCACAGTGCTTCTTACATTCTGAAGGTACAACACATGCCACTTGATCTGCAAAAAGATGAGTCACACCAACACGCTGGCCTGAGAGCTCTAAAATCTGAGCTTAGGGAAAGGGAAGCAAATTAGGAATCGCATGTGGATGTCACGCATTCTACTGGTGACTGCTCCAATTCATGATCCTACATTCATAATCCTTCAGGAGTGTGGGGTGAAGGTAATGGCTATGAGTTAGGCACTGAGGAGTCAAATGAATTGGTGCTTCTACTAATTCACTGCTTGACCCAAAGCAAGTCCCCTGACCTCGACATGATCCCAGCTAGGTGTCAGGAAAGCAGATGGATTCTTCATCCACATACTAATGTATGAGTAACTCATAACTTTACTCCTTTAGCCTGATAGAGGTGTTATTTCAGAGTATTTGGGAAGAAATTTTGGACTAAGAGAAGTAAAGGGACTGAATGTGACATGCCCTTCAAAGCCTATAAAGCTATAAGAGATATAAAGTTACCATATGAGGAGCAAACCCAAAAGCAATGAATCAACATAGACTAGATGGAGGCAGAATATTGTGCAGGTTTATGGGTAGAGGGAGCTATTTTACTGGGGACAGGTACGTCGCTTCAGAAGTGGTTACCAAACATCTAGAGCAAGAATGTAAAAACTCAGAGTGAGGGGCCAGCCCTGTGGCATAGTGGTTAAGTTGGCATGCTCCACTTTGGTGGCCCGGGAATTGCCGGTTCAGATTCCTGGTGTGGACCCACACGCAGCTCATCAAGCCATGCTGTGGTGGCATCCTACATACAAAATAGAGGAAGATTGGCACAGATATTAGCTCAGCAACAATCCTCATCAAACAAAAAGAGGGAGACTGGCAACAGATGTTAGCTCAGAGCCACTCCTCCTCTCACACACACACCAATAAAACTCAAGGGGGTGGCAGCGCTGAACATCCCTTTTCATCTGCCCACTATCCTGCCCCCCCACCCCCCGCCATCCCCACCACCATGCACAGTCTTAATCAGTGTGGTTTGGGAGAGGCTGGAGAGCCAGGCCTGGCCATTCTGGAAATTCCTTCCCCTTGGCCACAACCACTGGTCCCTATCACTCAAGTGAGTTCACTAAAATTCATCTAAGATTTTTTATGGAACTACTGGGAAAGGAAACACTCTTTCTGTGGGGGGGGTTGACCTGGCAGTACAGAGGCGTGGTTTTGCTGGTGACCATCTTGCCACAAGATGGCCTGAGGATGACACCAGCTCAGAAGATAAAGGAGCTAAAAGTGCATGTCATTTTCAACCAAGAACCCCAACTAATACTGTGGCCTACCCAGAAGACCAGATTCAGAGAATCACATCTTGACAGTGTCTGGCCCCAGCTCTGGCCAGGAGAGCGACTCAGAAGCTAGGGCCAGAATCATCTGGGTTACTAGAAAAGCACAGTCTTCTAGGAACATGGGCAGGGGCCAAGCTTTCGTGATAAACAGCTTTCCGGCTTTATATACCTGGCACGTGTAAATGGATCTGAGTCTGGCCACTTCTGAGGACTAGGGACAAGTGGTTCCAGGCCCTCCTCCACCTGTGCAGTCTGTCAATTCTATTCCCCTCTTGGTCAGAAGGCCGGAGGGAGTTTGGGTTCCCGAGGCCCACCCCAGCTAGGGGGAACAGCTATTCCCCACTCTTCTTCCCCCTCCCTTAGCAGCCTCTAGAGTCCAAGATACCAGATATTCTGCCCAGTCTTCTTTCTCAGTGAGCAGGGCAGTCCATACTGTGGAGTGGAGGTGGGGAGGCACGGCTGGGACGCCCAAGGGACTGGGTCCTAGAGAGTACAGGGGCCTATTTTCTGTTCAACGAGGGGGCACCGCCTATAAGACCCAAAAAAGCGTCACTTGACAGTTGAAGACCAAATCTGAGAATGCTGAAAGAAAGCACTCCTCTGTTGAAACTGGAAAGGAATTAGGATTAAAAAAAAGAGGCACGTCTCAGGGGCAGACTGAGGATGAATCAGGGTTAGAGACATCGACTGCGTACGTTACTTAGCAATAAAAAGCGCTCTACTTCTGTTTGGCCTTGTCAAAGCACGGTAGCAGAAGACTCCTGTGGAAGCCGCCTGCTTTGCCCCAGCGGCTGCACCTATCAAAGTACGTGCTCCATAAAGCTTTAATGAATAAACAAACCCAGTGCCCTGAGAGACAGTACAGCAAGTAAAACTAGGTTGAAATGGGGAGGAGATACATTCACAGAGTCATGATAGTTCATTAAGGGAAACAGGGCTGTCTTAATAGTATTTAATAGAACGTGGGCCTCAGTGTCAGACCCACTTTGGGAGTTGCAGTGAGCTCCCCCTCTGACGTGCCTCCTCTGTTAAGGCCACAAAACCCCACCTTTTGGGCTGTGAGAGCATCTGTCAGCTCAGCATAGCGCCTTGCACACGAGTGTGCCTCCCATGATGATGCCTGCGAGGCCAGGGGAGCCACTGAACCTTCCCACAGAGTGTGGCTCAGTGCCCCACAGAGACTGAGCCATGGCTGGGAGACGCATCGATCAGCTCTTTCCTGCCTGCACTTCTCTCTGGAATTTCTCTCCTGCCACCTACATCCACAGTCTCTGCCAGACTTCTGCTCGGCTACATACCTAATCCAGACCTGCTGGCTCGCAAGAAAGCAGTCTGGGCACCTCAACACTGGTACACTGTGGGAGACCTGATAACCCCCAAAACTCTCTTGATCTCTGAGAGAGGAGAAGTTGATCAGTGTGAACACAGCAAAATCAAGAATTTACCTGGGTACAAGATGCGGCTGATCATTCCCGGCATCACTATGCTGAACATGGGCAGCAACTTCAGGTACCCACAAAAGAGGCAGCCGCCTTTCACATGAGACATGTTCTTTCCTGCTAGGCACCGCTGGACAAAAATCTGCCAAGGAAACACAGGTGGTAGGTGGGGTGGTGGCTTTATCACAGTTATCAAGCCTGGGCCTCCTTGGCACAGATGCGACAACTGTGACCTGCTGCAGTGGCAGGCTGTGCCCTCTGGTAGGTTTTTGCTAAGCTGCTCACTTCAACCATCCAGGCATCTCCGGGCACCCAGGGCCAGAGGAGACGTGTATGGCCACCGAGCACGTTTTGCTCAGTGCAGAGCTGCTGGAGGGACAGGGATGGCACACACGACCTTGGCCTCATTGCTAGCACTGCACACCAATCACAGCGGCGCAGTGCTCACAAGCTTTCCCCTGGCAAGGACGAGACTCCCTCCTAGAGGCCACAGACGGTCTCTGCGGGGCAGAAGGAAGAGGGCCTTGTGACACCAAAGCAAAGGTGGGCCCTTGGCAGTAAATGAATGTTTAGAACTACGACCAACTTCATTCACGTAAATTGAAATGAACTAGTATAGACCTTAAAAATGCAAAAATCTCCTAGGAGATGTTTCATGACCCATTTCATGGTGCTACTGCTGTAAGAGACAGCGTGCATTCAGACCGAATAGAACGGTACTGCTTGCAGGTGGAGAAGCACTTAAGAAAGATCATAAAGACATGGTCCAGCGCCTCAAAACAATGTAGTCGTAATGTATACACTAAAATTACGCGCTTGAAGAACATTTAAATCATGTGAAAAAATGCTCACAGTGTGATGGTAACTAAAAGGCAGAGGATACAACAATAGCGTATATGCTGTGGCTCTACAGCCAGAAAAAAGCCCACAGGGATAAACCAACAGATAACAGTGGTTAATCCTGGGGTGGGGGAATCTACAGGCAGGATTTTCATTTTCATCTTTACCTTTTCTTTGTTTTCCAAATGTACTGTTTTAATAACAGGAGGAAGAACCCAGAAGGGTCCTGCCTCAGGCAACAGGCGCTGCTTCTCGGGAGGTCTGGCATCCTGCTGCTGGCCTCCCAGCGTATGCAGGCCTCCTCCGCTGAGCGCGCCGGGCAGCCAGGCTGCAGGCCCTGGTCTCTGCTGAGCCCCATGACAAAAGAGGCCGTCTCTCAGGGAGGGCAGCAGCAGCAGCAGGGCAAGGGCAGAAACATGACTCTTACTCGGAGGAAAGGGTGATGAGAAGGGTGTTATCACTCCCTGTAGAAAGTCCTAAGCACTTCTGTGTATTGTTGTATACTCCACAGAGGCGGGAGGGAAGGACTATTATTTAAAAATGGTGGTTGGCCAAGGGTTAATAACTGGCCTTGTGCCAGTTTGCCTCTTTTTTTTTTTAAAGATTTTATTTCTTCCTTTTTCTCCCCAAAGCCCCCCGGTACATAGTTGTGTATTCTTCGTTGTGGGTTCTTCTAGTTGTGGCATGTGGGATGCTGCCTCAGCGTGGTCTGATGAGCAGTGCCATGTCCGCGCCCAGGATTCGAACTAATGAAACACTGGGCCGCCTGCAGCGGAGCGCACGAACTTAACCGCTCGGCCACGGGGCCAGCCCCAGTTTGCCTCTTTTTAATTAAAATTTTTCCTTAAATCATTTTCTTTACTAGTTAGGAAGTTACATATTTGACTTCTATGCTTTTAATAGCTACCCTTAAAGTTTCAGCATGGATACAACTTCAAGTGTAACACAAACCTATCTCCCCACCCTTATGGTCCGTATATTTAACTTCAAACTGTGGTCTAATATTTCAGTTTTGTCCTGTTTTTCACTTCCTGCATTTGTAATTATTATTATTTTTCAGCCAACACTTTAGATTTGCTCATGTGCCTGTCAACATCTTTGCTAACTAGTCCTCCTTGCTCTTTAGTACTTCCTCTTTTTTTTTTTTTTTTTTTGAGGAAGATTAGTCCTAAGCTAACATCTGCTGCCAATCCTCCTCTTTTTTGCTGAGGAAGACTGGCCCTGAGCTAACATCCGTGACCACCTTCCTCTATTTTATATGTGGGATGCCTGCCACAGCATGGCTCGACAAGTGGGGCGTAGGTCCACACCCGGGATCTGAACCAGTGAATCCTGGGCTGCCAAAGTGGAACATGTGAACTTAACTGCTGTGCCACTGGGCTGGCCCCAGTACTTCCTTTTTCTTTACGTCCATCTTCCTGTCTTTCTTTAGAGCAGGTTCTGTCTGTATTTTGCCCATGGATAAGAATAATACCTTCGCTGTGCATGTAATTTAAAGTTGATATTTTCCTCGGGAATTTGAAAATTTTACTCCTCTACCTTTGGGTTACCTTGTTGCTGCTGAGGAGTCTGTTGTTGGTATAACTCTCTTCTTTTCTAAGTAATCTTTCCTCTCAGGTGGCTTTCAAAATCTTCCCCTTGTCTTTGATGTCCTGGACTTTCATTATGAGTGTCTTGGTGTGGATTTTTAAATTATTTCTGCCTGAGATTCACCGGGATTCTTGAATCTGATGATTCTTGCTTTTTCAACAATTATAAAAATTCCCAGCCACTTTTTCTTCAAAATATCGCTTCTCTCTCCTTTTCTTCTGGAACTCCAATGAGATGTACTTTAATCCTCATTTTATCTTCCATGTCCCTTTGTTTCTCTTTCACACTTTCCATTTTTTGCTTTCTGGGCAATTGCTTCAGTTCTGTCTTCAGATTACTAATTTTTTTCCCCTTTGGCTATATTTAATCTGCTATTTTAACAGTTTCTGAGTTTTACATCTCAATAAATATATCTTTCATTTCTAGAAGTTTGAGTTTTCAAATCTGACCAGTCTTTTTGGATAGAATTGTGTTAATGTTTTCCGGTCCACTTTTATTTCTTTAAACATTTATTTTGTATTTGGTACCTAATACGTCAACTTTCTGAAGTCTGGAGCACTAATTCTGCTGTTTCTTGCTCACGGCGGTTAGACTCTTCCCTGTTTTCTAATTTTGTGGGGGGCTCAGGCTGAGCAGATTTATGTGAGTCCTGCACGGCCTTGGTTGAGGGTGCATCACTCCAGTGAGAAGTTGCCACTACTCCTGCCAGGTCAGCAGGTAACAAATTTTGGGTGATTTTATGTTCATTTCTTCACATGAGGTTACCATGACCACACAGGTAAATTAAAAACTCAAGACACACAGGAAGGCAGGTCTGCCACTATGAATTCTCAGAGGAGACGTTTCTGCTCCCCCTGGAGCCCAGGTTGAGGTACTTTCTTTCCGCTGTTGTTTCTCCTTGCTAGTGGGCAGATTTTTCCTGGTCTACATTGGCACTGAGGTCACAGCCTTTCAGGAATCCGAGGTCTACACGGAGCGTTCACTCTTTACTGCTCGTGAACTCAAGGTCTTTCTCCTGTTCTCATCTGGCCATTTAAACCCAGGCCTTTGAAAACCCAGCTTGTAAACACTGTGAGGGCACTGTCAGCGTCAGTGCCAGTGTCAGCTTAGCTCTCTGGATTTCAATTCTCTCTTTGTTTTCAGCCTCTGGAGATTTTCTTCCTTTCTTATGAGCTTCTCTGTGACCATAAAAGAAGTATGTTATATTTTACCCAGCAGTCGTAGGAATTTTGAATTGGGAGGTGGTTCAGGAGACCTAGTTTACCCATTGCCAGAAGTGGAAGGCCAGGGGCAACTTTTAAAGTTACGGTTATAGTAGAAATTGAAAAGAAAAATACGGATTTTTCTTATCTTTTAGGTAATAGAGCATAATTAAACACACAATAAATGGAGGGAAACAATTCAAATAAAAAACTTGTAGCTCCGTCTACACACGTACTGTGCTCCGGATCTCATCTCGCTCCCTGTCTCTCCACTCTGCACATCTGAAAGACTCATCAGTTTTGCTATGTGCACATCCAGTCCATTGCTTTTATTGCGCGCACAGCATTCCCCAGCATTCCCCTCCCCCATTTCAGTTACCTCCTTTATAGCAACTGACGCAATCAACACTGTGATCCATGTCTCACACAGAGTCCCTTATGAACTCGCATGAGGATTTCTCAGGTGGATTCTGAGGAACAGCACTGCTAGGTCACAGAGTACAAGACACTTAATTTCATTGAATATTGCCAGATTACCCTCCAGAACACACTGCACCAGTCTGTACTTCCACCAGAAGTGCACGAGGGTTCCGAAACATCATACCCTCCCCAACATTTGGCATTCTCAAGCTTTCTAATTTTTGCCAGTCTCATTGTGGTTTTAAATTGCGCTTCCCTGATAACTCTGGGTTGTATGCTTTTCAGCATTTGCGTTTCTTTGAATTTCCTTTTCTATAAATTGCCTGTCACTATCTTTTGCCCACATTTCCAGTGGAGCTCCTTTTTTCTTGCGGATGTGCTATTAGTGTCTCGTCCATTATAGACATTTCTAATAATCTTTTCTAATCTGCCATCTGTCAACTTTGTCTATGGTATTCTTTGTTTAAAAGTCCTTATATGGAATGTGATCAAATTGATATGATTTGTACTCCCCCCTCTGTCTCAAAAATATTCCCTAATGTTACCTTCCCTCAATCATATAATTTTACTTTTCACATTTAAGTCCTTCATCCATCTGAAGTCCACCTTTGTATAAGTATTAGGTAGGGATGAAGTTTTGTTACTCCAGATAATAAGCTGATTTTTCTAACAACATCAAAAGGTGTGTATCTCTCTCATTGATCCCTGGAGCCTCCTTGAATATCTATTAAATTCCTACAAGTACATGAGTCTGTCCCTGAGCTCTTCATTCTGTTCCAGTAGTCTATGCATCTGTTTTCAGGAATTCCAAATGTTTTTATTACTGCTACTTTGTAGATGTTTAAATATCTGGTCAGGCAAGTTCTCCCCGTTTGCCCTTCATTTTCAAACTTGAGTTAGCTGTTTGCGGCATTTCTTCTACAAAATGTTTAAACCTTTTTTATTGTGATATAACACACGGAAAGGACATTGTACCACCATTACAAAGCACGCTGTGTAACTACCATCCAAATCAAAGAGATGGAACACTCCAAGTACCCGAGAAGCCTCTCTCTGACTCCTTTTAAAAAAATTCAGGTGAAATTCACACAACCATATAATTACCCTGTTTAAAGAGAACAATTCAGGAGCATTTAGTATATTCCCAGTCTTGTGCAATCACCCACCTCTCTAGTTTCAAAACCTTTTCATCACTCCAGAAGAATACCCATATCCATTAAGCAGTCACTCTCCATCCCTCCTCCCCTCAACCCCTGGCAAACTCTACTCAGATTTCCGTCTCTACTGATTTGCCTATTCTGTATATTTCATATAAAAGGATTTTACAATAGGCGACCTTTTGTGTTTGGCTTCTTTCACACAGCATAAGGTTTTTGAGATTCATCCAAGTTGTAGCAAGTATCAGTACTTCCTTCCTTTTTACGGCTGAGTAATATTCCAGTGCATGGGTACACATTTTGTTTATTCACGCATTCACTGGTGGACACGTGGGTTGCTTCCTTTTGGCAATTGTGAATAATAGTGCTAAATGTGCCCCTTTTTAACCTCAATCCCTTCCCTTGCTCCAAAAATGAACACTTCATGACTGTTTTATTTCTTCCCTGTTTTTCTTTATAATTTTTTGCCCCTTAATTGGGTATCCCTAAACAGCAGAACTCGCCATCGCCTGTGTTAAACTTTATTCAAATGTAATCATGCAGCACCTAGCCTTCTGTGTCTAGCTTCTTTTATTTGGCATCATGCTTTGAAGAGCTGTCCATGTTATTGTGTGTAAGTGTACTTCCTTTTTCTTTTTATATTGGCTTTTTACTGTATGAATATTTCACAATTTATGTAAAGACCTACCATTGGTAGAGAGCCATATAATTTTTAGAATTAAGTTTGAGTCCTTAAAAAATCCATCTGAAATACTGATGGGTTGCGCTTAAACACTCAACTCGGGAGAAGTGACATATATTTTATATCCAAAAAATTGTGCTTTTTATATAATGATAGGGAAGAAGGAAAATAGTTGATGAGTTACAGATGGGACTGTGGGAGAAATTCCTTTTAAATAAAATTTCTTATAAAATTATTTAGGCAATAAATAAAAATTGGAAGGGAAACCTGATCACCGAGTACACAGAGGCCCACAGTCGCCTGCCAGTGCAGAGACGGTGGTGGAGCCTGGAATGCACCGATGACCACCAGCCCCCACCGCAGTCACTTCAGCTGCAATACGTCTAATTACCTGATTGGTGCACCAGTAGGACAAGGAGAGGATGGAGACACCAAAGACGATTCCAGGCCAGGGGAGATCTCCAGTGATGGGATCTCGGAAAATATGGAAAGAATCCAGGCGAGGGATGTAGCATTCCGGTTTGGCAGTCCAGTTTCCTTCCTGGGTGATCCTTGGCTTCGCATCTAAGTACTTATGCAGTAGCTCCTGGTATCCTCCTACTTCCTTAAAGGCTTAAAATATCATAAAATTTATCAGTACCTTAAAGTACACAATACATATGTCTGAAGAACCAAGACTGCAAAGACAGACCCAGTTTGATTGACTGTATCTAACACATAAAGTGCAATGGACTGACACATCGTTAACGACTATATGTACCTAAGAAAAGGTATCATCTCTTCCAAAGAGAAAGAAGAGTAGAGTGGACACTGGTGGTTGTGTACCCAGCACCCCCCGCTCCGTCTAGCTTCTGGCAGCAGAACCCCTCTTTCCACTTACAGTCCATCCTGTGTGGCTTAGGTGGGCTGTGTCAAACTGTCCATCATTCCAAACTGGCATGTGACCCAGGCCTGGCCAATGTTCTCTGTCCCCTGGGCAACAACTGATATGTCAGGAATGGACATGAGACCCAAGCTGGGCTAATCAGAATTTGTCCCAGGATCCTTCTGTTCAAGGAACCCAAAAAGCCTGCTTCCTTCCTTTGGGGTTCTAAGCTAGTATGGCAGTTTGAAGCTCTTTTGTTCATCTGGTTCATTCAGAACCCTGGATCTAGCCATGCCTGAAGGTAGTGTGCCCCTGGAATTTTTACTTATCTGAGCCAAGAGAGCACTTATTTGCTTACACTAGTTTTGAACTAAAGTTCTATCAAAAGTTATCTAAAGAATCTTGACTAAAACAGAAATTAACATTTGTTTTCCTGCAATGCCAGCAAAACATTTATGAAACTTTGTAGTTCAAATTTTCTTCAGAGTCTATGGCATCTCTCTCAATATCCTAAGTGGTGTAAAATCTCAACATTAAAGAAAAATATTTTTTAAAAGGCACTAAACCACCCATAATTCCACTTACTTAACTAAAAAGGTCTTTTATTTTGGCATATTAAACAATGTTCCTCTGATATAGACTTGATTTTTGAAATGGGTTCAGAATTTTTTGGAGTCAAGACTAGTCAATGAAAGGATACTCAGTGACTATAAAATGAGTAAAACATCTCATGGCACTTCTAAAAATGAATTCCATGTGGATAAAAAAAGGTGAAATACAAAACTACAAAGTTATTAGAAGAAAACAGGAGAATATCTTTATGAACTTGGGTTAGGGAATACATTCTTAACTAAGACACAAAAAGGAAAATGAAAGTTGATAAATTTGGCCTCAAAATTTAAAATTTATGTCTGAAATTATGTTAAAAATTTGTTAGACTGAAAAAAAGAGATTTGCATTATGTATAAAGGACTCTTATACATCAATAGCCAAGGAAAACTACTGGAAAGGAATATAGTAGGAAAAAGAAAAGACATATGGTAGAGAATATGAACAGGGAATTCACAGAAGAGGAAATACAAATGGCCACTCAGCGCAGTCATGCGTCACTTAAGAACGGGGATACATTCTGAGAAATGCATCGTTAGGTAATCTCGTTGTTGTGTGAACATCACAGAGTGTACTTACACAAACCTGGATGGTACAGCCTATTGCTCCTAGGCTACAAACCTGTACAGCATGTTACTGTACTGAATACTGTACGCAACTGTAACACAGTGTAAACATTTGTATATCCAGACATATCTAAACACAGAAAAGGGACAGTAAAAATTCAGTATAAAGGACAGAACACGGTCCACCTGTAGAGGGCACTGCCCGTGAATGGAGGAGGCCATGACCTGCAGGAGGAAGTTGCTCTGGGTGAGTCGGTGAGTGAATGGTGAGCGAACATGAAGGCCTAGGACATCACTGGACACTACTGTAGACTTGAACGCTGCACATTTAGGCGACACTAAATTTATCAAATAAGATTTTCTTTCTTCAATAATAAATTAATCTTAGCTTACCGTAACTTTTTTACTTTATAAACTTTTTAATTTTTAAACTGTTGACTCTTTTTGTAATGACACAGCTTAAAACACAAACACACTGTATAGCTCTACAAAAGTATTTTCTTTCTTTACATCCTTATTCTATAAGCTTTTTTCTATTTTTAACATTTTTAATTTTTTTACTTTTTAAACTTTTTTCTTCAAAACTAAGACACAAACACACAGATTAGCCCAGGCCTACACAGGGTCAGGATCATCAACAACACTGTCTTTCACCTCCACATCTTCTCCCACTGGAAGGCCTTCAGGGCAATACCACGCGTGGAGCTGTCGTCTCCTATGATAACAGTGCCTTCTGGGACGCCTCCTGAAGGACCTGCCTGAAGCTCTTCTTGGGGAACTGTCCCTCTTGTCAGAAATATGCCTGTGGTAGTTTGCTGGTTTCTTCATTTTTTTAATCACAGACTTGCCTGTAAGCAGATAACGTATCATAAACATTTCTATTAATGAAAACCTTTTGGTGTTGGGGTCTATGTTTTCAAACTTTTTAAGGAGCTTGTTGAGGTCTGAAAAGCTTCTGCTAAAGCCTTCACTGTGAGTTTTCTTGGCGGCTCTTCTTTTTCTTCTCCTGCACTTTCCTTTTCTCTTGTCTCTTCTTCAGCTACGCATTCCTCTTCCAGTTCCAACAACTCCCCATGAGTCAGCTCCTCAGGAACCACCTCTAGGAGCTCCTCAGTGTCGTCCTCACCCACACCCAGATTAGAGCTGCTTGCCATCTCCACCACAGCTTTGCTGATTTTTGCAACCTCCTCATCCTTGGCAAATCCTTGGAAGTCATGGACGAGCCTCCTGAGTATCTTCTTGCAGAGGTCATTCGTGCACTCCTTGGTAACATCCTCCTAAGCCTGAGCAAGGCTCTTGATCAGTCATAGATGTTGTAACCCTTCCAGACTTGCATCGGTGTCTTCCTCAGTTGCAGCAAGAACCTGGGCAAAGGTCCTCCTCAGGTAGTAGGCCTTAAAAGCTGCTGTCACTACTTGGTCCATCGCTTGGATCAAAGAGGTGGTGTTTGGAGGGAGAAATGCCACTTCGATATTGAGATGAAGCAGCAGGTTTGTTTACCCAGCATCACCACAAACACGTGAGCAATGCATTGTGCTACGATGTTACAATGGCTATGACATCACTCGGTAATAGGCATCTTTCATCCTCTTTATAATCTTATGGGACCACTGTCATATATGCACGTCCATCATCAACGCAAATGTCACTAGGTGATGCATGACTGTATGAAGAGATGCTTAGCTCACCAGCACCTGGAAACTTCGAATTAAAACAAAAATGAGGGGCCGGCCCTGTGGCCGAGTGGTTGAGTTCGTGCGTTCCGCTTTGCTGGCACAGGGTTTCACCGGTTCGGATCCTGGGTGCAGATACGACACTGCTCATCAGGCTGCGGTGAGGTGGCATCCCACATGCCACAACTACAAGGGCCCACAACTAAAAAATATACACCTACGTACTGGAGGGATTTGAGGGAGAAAAAGCAGGGAAAAAAAAAAAGACGACGATTGTTAGGTCAGGTGCCAATCTTTAAAAAAATGAGATGCCTTTTTTTCTTCACCTATTGGGAAAATTTTTAAAGTTTTAAAACATCAAGTGTTGGCTGGGAGGTCAGGAAACATATCCTCATAAATTACTGACAACGTTAGTTAATATAGCCACTTTGGAGAGGAATTTGGGGTATCCCTTGACAAAGGTGGGTTTATTCCAGGAATGCAAGGTTGAGTTTACATTCAAAACCAAGTCACTGTAATTCACCATGTTAATAGAATAGAGGAGAAAAATAATCATCTCAGTGGATGTGGAAAACATGCTTGACACAATTAAAAACCCATTCATGATAAACAATCTCAGTAAACTAAGGAATAGAAGGGAACCTCATTGGTCTGACAAAGAGCACATATAAAAAACTGACAGCAAATATTTTATTTAATGGTAAAATAGTCAAAGCTTATCTCTAAACTGAGAACAAGACAAGGATGCCTGATGTCTCCACTTCTGGTCAACACTGTACTAATGGTCCTGGAAATGTAATAAGACAAGAAAAAGAAATAAAAGGTATAAAGTTTAGAAAGGAAGGAAACAAAAAGATAATTTATTGACCTGAGTGCTGGTTACCAGAGTGTTCACTTTGTGATATTCCACCTAGCTATACACTTTGATGTGTACTTTTCAATAAAAAGTTTATTACAAATACAAAAACAAAAAAGCTGCAGTAGATCTCTATTTGTTGACATAGAAATGTGCCTATGATATAGAGCCAGCGGTGGAAAAACAGGCTGCAAAATTTTGTTTTGCTTCTATTAAAATATATATCTCACTGATAAAAAAGTGTTTGCATAGACGAAGAATATCTCTGGAGGATATATACAAAACTTAGAATACTGGCTGTCTCTGGAGAATTGAACTGAGAAACTGAGGGAGACAAGTATTTCACTGTGTACCTTTCTGTTTTGTTTACTTGTGTATGTTATTACCCAAAAATTAAAAATAAAAAAGTAAGGGACCAGCCACATGGTCGAGCAGTTAAAGTTCCATGTACTCTGCTTCAGCTGCCTGAGTTTGCAGGTTCAAATCCCGGGTGCAGACTTATTCCACTCAATAGCCATGCTGTAGTGGTGTCCCACACACAAAAAAAATAGAGTAAGATTGGCACAGATGTTAGCTCAGGGCTAACCTTCCCTAAGCAAAAAGAGAGGAGGACTGGCAACAGATGTTATCTCAGGGTGAATCTTCCTCAGCAAAAAATAAAATAAAATTTAAAACAAAAAAAAACCTATATATGCATGGGTTCCCACAGTGACTAGTGTGAATAACTCACTTGGATATGCAAGTTCTTGTATATTTTTAAAAGAAAATAATTAGTCCTTTACTTTATGATAGTTCACTTATCAAAAAAACTGACATGAACACCCCAATTAAAAAATCCTATTAAATTTCTCAGAAAATGTCTTAGTCTATTTGGGCTGCTATAACAAAATAGTATAGATTGGGTGACTTATAAAAAAAAGTTTACTTCCCAGTTCTGGAGGCTAGAAGTCCAAGATTAAGGTGCTGGCTAATTGGGTGTCTGGTGAGGGCCCACTTTCTGGTTCAGGGATGGCCATCTTCTCACTGTGTCCTCACATGGTAGAAGGGGCGAGGGAGCTCTCTGGAGTCTCTTTTATAATGGTACTAATGCCATTCATGAGGGCTCCACCTTCAGGACCTAATCACCTCCCAAAGGCCCCATCTCCTAATATTATCACAATAGGGGTAAAGATTTCAACATGTTAATTTTGGGGGGACACATTCAGTCTATAACAGTAGAGAACACATAATTTAGAGATATAATTGCTAACATTAAATGGATTATTCCACCTGCTCCTAAAGTTTATTTGGATGTCATTCTCAACTATTGGGGTGGACTTGGCAGGTTTTAAAAATGCTGATGTCCAACACTAGCACACAACTAAACACAATGGCTTTGTGTGTTTTATAGTTTATAGTTTTGTCACTCAAGTTAGTTATTGCTTCCTAGCTCATTTAAAAATTCCTTGGATTTTGCCTGAAATGTATTTGGTGTTCTAGCAACACCTCACTGAGTATACTTCATGGAGCACTAATGCTTACTGAATGGTAAGACTGAGGATTGTGCGACTCTGTTTGATTCTCTCTGTTCTCATTCCATGGGGCTTGAAAACATGCTCTACGGAACCACAATCCTTCAATTGTACTCACATATAATTTCAATAATTTTTCAATACCTGAGCCAAGAGCCTTTCCTTCCAGGTTTCTGCAAGACCAATCCGTGATTCATGGAGCAGCGGGTAACATCAAGCTCACTAAGGCACTTCTAGCTAGTGGAAGGAAACTTCCACTTTAAGGTAAGTGTACTTGCCATTCCAGGTACTGGAATATGTTAGTTCACATATTTGGCTTTGGTGGTAGAAACCCAGTTCTGAGTTCTGCCCTTGGTGTATCTTTAGTGCAAGTTGCTCAACTGAAACTCAGTTTCCTCATCTGTAAAATGGGGATGATAATAGTAGCTATGCCTCATGGCGACTGTGGTGATTAAATGAGGCAATATAGATGAATGCCTACACGGTACCTGATAATTAATATCAGCTATTATCTTCATTCCTATTACTTAATAAGCACCTGCCATGTGCCTCAGACTGCATATTTTGTGAGGGACACAGCAGTTCTGGTTCTTAAGAAGTTTTAGACCTGGGGGTATAGTTTATTTATGTGACACAGTCAATAAATAATGAAGGTATGGATCAAAAAACTGAGTTGAGTGGTAGACGTGAGAGTCCAGAGAAGAAAGACATGCAGATGGAATAGTCACAGAATCACACATTTACGAGTGGATCTTCCACTGACCTTGACAGGTGGATTGAGTGGACAAAAAGGAGAGGGGCTTCTAACTGGAGAGGAAGAGCACGGACAGAGGCACAGAGCTGGGGATGAATGTGGCCGGCCACCCATGACCGCTGTTCCAAAGCACAAAGTGTGTCATTGCCCCTCCTCTGCCCTGATGCCTCCTTCTTCTGCAGTGAGGAGGTTTCCTCCCCCACTTTCAGCATGACTTTAGACAATGCTCTTGGGTTCTGAGGATCTCAGTCCCTTCTGCGAGATGAAGGTGCTGACATGGCCCCAGGCAGCTCTCAGATTCAGATTCTACCCACGGAGCCCGGTCCTCTCAAGATTTACTTACCAAAGCCCATTAACAAGACTGATCCCAGGACTATAATGACAGCATGTAAGGTATCAGTGTAAACTACAGCTGCAAAACCACCTGAATAGGCAAGAGAAAGAGAAACAAAAGCCACACTGACTCTCTCTGCTCAAAGTTACTTCTGCATCCCTATTCTGTGTACTTGTTTCCTCCCAGAACTCCACAGTCACACGTCTTGTGCCTTTTTATTCAGTGGGTCTTACAACTACTCATGCTTAGTCTTGGTACATCCTGTTTTCTCTCTTTAATATCCTTTATGATCTTTTGTTGGATTCTTATCTTGCCCTTCTTTGTTTCCCTTTACTTCTCATTTTTGGATGAATGAAAATCTGGTAGTTTTCCTAAGCAAAAAAGTACATTTTTAATCACAAAATCTCAGTTTGGAAGCAACAGTTAGTGGCGTCCCCGGCCCCTACCTGCTAGATGCCAGTAGCATCCCCTAATTTGGCTACCAAAGATGTCTCCAGACATTACCTTGTGGCCCCAGGGGAGCAAAGCCCAAGCCCGCTCCCCTATCCACACACACTGAGAACCACTGATTGAGTGCATTCTCCCCACTCGGACTGTGGTGAGCTGCTAGGGACACTCACCAGCACCCAAAATCTGCACTGCGGCTGGAAAAACAAGCGATGAGAGCCCCCACTCTCAAAATCTTGGCAGACGCTGTCTACATAAAAGATCTCATCTGATGGCCTGACCAGGTGGCCTGAAGCGGCTGCCTCCTCCTCATTCTCTTTGTGTGTTTCTACAGTTTTACCTCATGGCCTGCAGTGTCAGGCTCTGCCCCACCCCAGCACGATCACTGCATCCCTGCCAGTCCCCTTGGAAGCCCCCGCCAGCCAGATCTGATTCCTAGGGGTAGGATGCCACTTAGGCACCCCTGCCTTGATTATTTTCACTATCCAGCCCCCTCTGGCCTCAGAAATATGATCTACAGACTTAGGGAAAAGGCAAAAGCTGGAGACCCCTGCCACAACGTCTACCAGGACTCCGCTAGAAGAAGCAGAGCTTTTGTGTTAATATAAATACCTCTGTGGTTAGAGTAGCCTCACCTGTGATGGTATAAATGCCAGTAATTGTCAGCAAGACTGTGGTGACCAGGTAAACATCAAACCCCCAAATCAGCTTCATGAACATGGCACCAGTGCATACCTCCACCTGAAATGAGCACAATGGCAGCGGGCTGTACTTTCATTTCCAGCTCAGTTGACAGCAATCCCATAAAGACACTGACCTTGGAAACCATCTGCAACAAGTGGTCTCTGGTTAGCACACCCACTCCACCACTAGTGGACACAGGGTGAGGTCTACCCAAGTTCTGGTGGGCAACAAGGCTTGTGCCCCATGAATTCAGCCACGGTGAGCACCTTTAGGGCTTGGGTTAACCCAATTAATCCCGTTAATACAACTTAGCCTCTTCCTCCCTGGAGCCTCAGAGCCAGGAGTGTGCTCAGAGAAGATGTTCCTGTAGTGCTACCACTGGGAAAAGGCAAAGGGGACAGCTTATCAGGGGTTGGCAAACTTCTTCTGTAAAGGGCAGATGGTAAATACTGTAGGGTTTGCAGGCCACATCCTGTCTCTATTCTTTATAACCCTTTAAAACTACAGAAACCATTCTTAGCTCAATGATGGTACAAAGCTGACCACTAGGCGGATGGGCCCGTGGGATGGATTTGGTGACTCTGGCTTATCTGACACTGATTTGAAGCATTTGCATATCCTTGAACTGGCTAACCTCTTGGTTTGTTATTCTGGTCTCCAAAGCCAGGGATACAATAGGGAGAGATTCTCCCAACATTCATCTACTCATTTGTTCACCAAACGTTTACAGAGTGCCAACCATGTAGTAGATATTTGGCAGGGTTCAGAAGACACAAGGGTTACCAAACTCAGACACTGCCTCCAAGTAGCTTACATTTAATGAAGGAGACAGACCAACAAATACGCAGTTTCCATGCAGTGCGATAAGTGACACTCCTTCAGTCATTCAGAAAAACATTTATCAAATGCCTTACGTGCTGAACACATTCTCAGAACAGGAGACAATGCAATGAACAAGCCAGGCAAGGCCCCGGGCCTCAAAAAGCTTGCATCGAAGTAAAGAAGACAGATAATAAGCAAGGAAACAAATTTCTGTGACATGGTAACAAAAATTCCAAAGAAAATAAAAACAGAGTAATGGAGTAAAGATTGGGCACACCTGTGCAAGGCCTCTCCAAGGAGGTGACATTTGAAAAATCTGGGGGAAGAACATTCCAGATACAGTATAAAGCAAGTGTCAAGGGCTTGAAGTGGGAATAAGCTTGCTGGATTTGAGAAACACTAAGGCAGCCAGTGTGGCTAGAGCATGGTGAGGACAGGGCAGGAGCCAAGGCCAGAGAAGTAGGGCTAGAACGGCACAGTTCTCACAGCTCACAACACAGGGTTCAGGCTGTCTTGAAAAGGGAGTGGAAACTCCCGGATTATTTTAAGCAGGGGAGTGACATCACCAAATGTCATGACACAGTTAAGACCAAGGTTCTCTGAGAATCCAGAGGAGAGACCTGTAACCTAGGCTTGGGAGACAAAGAGGAAGCCTCTGCCTTTCATTTTTTGCAAAGTATTATTAAGTTATTTTTTCTCTACTCTAGCTTAGACAGCAGGGGCCAACTGAGGGGCTCCAGAGTGAACTGCTGGGACAAATCTAGCACAGTCCTGCCTCTTGATATGATTTTTTGGGGGGTTTCTTTCTTGGGCCGGCTTTTACACAACTCACCAAGATATCACCGAAGATATAGAGGAATAAGGACAGAATAGCATGCAGGAACTGGATCCGGTAGCCACCAAACCTCTTCCTCAGATATTCTGGCATTGTTACCACCTGTACAAGCAACAAGAGAAGTCACCAGTGGACAGAATGCCAGAAAAGGAACATCCACAAGGATCACCTTGCTCACAAAGTGCTAGTTGTCCCAGAGACGTGGCTGACGGTGGGAGGGGCCCAGGAATACAAGGTACAGGGTCACTGACTCTGGCTTTGTGTTACATAGCATCTGTTAAGATGAGAGAAACAAGAAAGGAGAGGCAATACCGCTGTCTTCAAGGAGCCTGGAATCCAGCTGCCTGTGCAATCTTCGAAATGCAGGAGGAAATCCAGCTAATTCAAATGTCTAATGATGAGAAATCATTTTTATGAAATAATCATAAAGCAAAATCAGGTGCTTTATTACATATTACAAATATAACAAGTGCTGAAGGGAGACAGAACTCAACTCAACAGCTCTCCCACCTGGTCCTCTGTGCCAACATTGCTCAAGTATGCGCTGGTGCCCCCAACAATCCTGCTCATTTCTACTTCCATCATCTCAGGCCGTGTGCACCCCAGCGGCAGGGAGTGCCCTCTGTTGGGTCATTAGATTCCAAGACCCGAGCACAGTGCCTGGCTCATGGTAGGTGAATAAATAATCGTTAAAGGAATACTGTCTCACCTTCCGTCCTGAATATCCTCATGTGCTCTTGTCCACCCACCTCACACATGTCTATTTTAGGGTTTAACTCCAATTCCATCTGCTTTATCAAGACTTACCTGGGGCTTCACTGGGACCAAATGCCCTCTCTTAAGCACCTACGGCTTTTACTACTTCCACCTTTCATTCGGTTCGTAATCATATACTGCCAAATATGGTTCACTTTCTCAGTCAGGTTCGAAGCTGTTTTACACTTCCTACCTGCATTAGTTTTCTAGGGCTGCCGTCTCAAAGTACAACAGACTGACTGGCTGGCTCAGTACTGTCTCTCAGTGCTGGAGGCTGGAAGTGAAGGAGTCAGCAGGGTTGGCTCCTTCTTTGGGCCGCGAGGGAAGGAGCTGTTGCAGGCCTCTCTCCTCGGCTTGTTGATGGCTGTCTTCTCCCCGTGTCTTCACATTGTCTTCCCTCTGTACATGACTGTGTGCAATTTCCTCTTCTTATAAGGTCATTCTGGGCCAATCCTAAGGACCTCATTTTAACTTAATTACTTATTTAAAGACCTTCTTTCAAAATATGCTCACAATCTCAGGTAATTTCCCTGGGATTACGGTTTCACAATTAGAAGTGTTCCACTGCATGGCAAATAAGCCTTTCACTTTTTTAACGCCCTCTCTACAAACGTTTAAAATTTTTAACAGTTTTATGAGGTATAACTTACACACAGTAAAATTCTCTCATTTTAAGTGTGAGGTTTGATGAGTTTGGGAAAACGTATACAGTTGTGTAATCAGCACCACACTCAAGATATAAAGCATTCCCAACACTCCTACAAAACCCCCTGGGGCTTGCAGTCAACGCCTTCACCCTACCCTTGGTCCCAGACAACCAGTATCAGCTGTCACCACAGATTTGCCTTTTCTAGAATTTCAAGGAAATGGAATCATTCGCTATGTACTTCTTCACATCTAGCTTCTTTCTCTTGCCATGATGTTTCTGAGACTCATCCACGTTGTTGTATGATTCCTCTGTAGCGCTGAGCAGTGCACCATATCACATGTTGTTTGTCCATTCTCCTATTGCAGTTTACACTATTTCTAGGTTTGTCTGTTATGAATAAAGCTGCTACGAACCTTCATGTACAAATGTGTGTGTGGACATATATTTTCATTTCTCTGGGTTAGGTAAAGATCTAAACCTACGAACAGAACGGCTGGTTCATAAGGTTTAATTTTGTCAAGAAACGGCCAAACTGTTTTCCAACATGGCTGTACCATTTCCCATTTGCTCCCCAATTCTCCAATTCTTGCTGGCGTCATTCTTCTTATCTGAGCCAATCTGGTGAGTGTGTAACAATACATTAAGTAGCATTTTCCTCATGATCAATGACAGGGAACATCTTTTCATGTGATTATTTGCAACTGGTATACTTTCTTTGGTGAAACATCTGACAAACGTTGTTACTGAGTTGTAAAAGTTTTAAAAAATATATAAATTGTGGACATAAGCCCTTTACTGTAAACGTGTTCTGTAAATATTTTCTCAGTCTCTAGCTTGACTTTTAATTTTCTTAAAAATATCTTTCAAAGAGTCAAAGTTTTAAGTTCTATTTTGAAGTCCAATATATCAATTTCCTGCTTTATGGCTTGTGCTTTTTGCATCCTAGCTAAGAAATCTTTACATACCCAATCACCTTCATTTTTTGGCAGTTTTTCTTTTTGAGGTATAACTGACATATAAGATTACAGTCATGCGCCACATGATGTTTCCTTCAGCAACAGACCACATATATGATGGCAGTCCTATCAGATTAGGATCATATAGCCTAGGTGTGCAGTAGGCTATACCACGTAGGTTTGTGTAAGTACTCTTTGTGATGAAATTGCCTAACAACACATTTCTCAGAATGTATCCCCATCATTAAGCAACGCATGACTGTATATTAGTTTCAAGTGTACAACATAATGATTTATTTTTGTATATATTTCACCATTTTTGAAGATACTTTTGCTAGATATGGAATTCTTGGTTAACAGTTCTTTCTTTCTTTCAGCATTCGAACATGCCATTCTAGTGTTTTCTGGCCTCCGTTGTATCAGATGAGAAGTCATCCATTAACTGTATCATTGTTCTCCTGCCTGTAATGAGTTTTCTTTTACCACTTCGAAAATTTCTTCATCTTTGCTTTTAGCAGTTTGACTATGACATAAACAGGTGTAGTTTTCTCTGTGTTTATTCTACTCTGTGTCTGTTAAGCTTTTTTTGGATCTGTAAATTAATATTTTCCACAAAACTTAGGAGATTTTCAGTTATTACTTCTTCAAAAAATTTTTTCTGCCTCTTTCTGGAACTCCAATTACATGTATATTGGACTTCTTGATATTGTATCACAGATCTTTGAGGTTTTGTTTCCTTTTCTTCAATTTTTTTCCCCTCTGTTCTTATCCTAGCTAATTCTTATTATCTTCAAGTTCACTGCTGCTCTCTTTTGCCATCTTAATTGTGCTGTTGAGCCTCTCGTGAATTCTTCATTTCGGCTACTGTGCTTTTCAACTCTAGAATTTCCATTTGGTTCTTTTCTATAGTTTCAGTTTCTCTGTTGAGAGGACCTATTTATTCATTCATTAATATCACATTTTCCTTTCCTTTTGTGAATATATTTATAATAACAACTGTGAAGTCCTTGTTAAATCAATATCTGGGTCTGCTCAGAGTCAGTCTCTATTTATTGCTTTTTGCTCCCTGAGTGTGGGTCACGTTTATTTTCCCATTTCTTGGGATGTCTAATACTTCTTGGTTGAAGACTGGCCATCATAGATAATACTATGTAGCACTCTAGAGTCTGTTTTGTTCTTCTGAGGATTGCTGTTTCTTGTTTTAGTAGGCAATTAACTTGCCTGGATTCAAACTGCAACATCTTGCATGCCACCCTACCTCCACTCCCACCCAGCAGCGTGCAGCAGCTGACCTCTTTTTTTTTTTTTGAGGAAGATTAGCCCTGAGCTAACATCTACCACCAATCCTCCTCTTTTTGCTGAGGAAGACTGGCCCTGAGCTAACATCTGTGCCCACCTTCCTCTACTCTATATGTGGGATGCCTACCACAGCATGACTTCACAAGCGGTGTGTAGGTCCACACCAGGGATCTGAACCAGCGAACCCCTGGCCGCCGAAGCAGAACATGTGAACCCAACCACTGCACCACTGGGCCGGCCCTCTGCTTGTTTTTTTTTTTAGCTTCTAGCTGTTGCTAATTTAGCCTGGTCCTCTGGAGGTTTTCCATGCACTTGAATAGTCTGGAAGTCACTCAAGGATCTGGGCAGAATTTACACTCAGATTTGGGAGTTAACTCTCTCTTTGGTTCCCTCGTCTTCGGAGCTCCCCACCTAAATTTCCAACAGCTTTTCCAGCCCTTACTTCTATCCTATGATACCTCAATCAGTGAGACTTCTGCTTTCCACTGCCTACACTGTGTGGGTTGGGGAATGTATTCAGTCATAGGCACAGCAAAAGCACACACCTCACCAGGTGCAGCTCTGTCTGCAGGACAAATCTCCCTCTGGTTTCTGTCTTTTTTTGGCTGGGCTCCCTGGGATCTCACACATGAATGTGTACTCTGGTGGTCAGTCCGAGATTTGGGCTTTTTATATCTTATTTTTAAAATCCTTCTGTATCTCAAGGGCATAAAGATATTTTATACTTTCTCATACAAGTTTAAAATTTTTTGCCTTTCTTATTTAAGCCTTTAATCAATCTAAAATTATTTTTGTGTAGAATAAGGATCCAATTTTATTTTGTTCATATAATAATCGACTCTCCTCAGTGATCTGCAATGCCATCAATGTCATAAATCAAGTGTCCATATATATGACTGGTTCTGGGCTTTTTCATCCTTCCACTTGTCAATGTGTTTATCCTTGTATCAACACCATACTGTCTTAATTACTACAGCTTTATACTAAGTCTTGATATTTGGTAGAGCAAGTCCTTATTTTTCTTTGATAGGAGTGTCCCTGCTATTCTTATGGTTTTGCTCTTCTACATACATAATTCTTTTTCCAGAATTACAGAGATATAATGACATATAACACCATGTAGGTTTAACTTGTACAATGTGATTTGATATATATATATATATATATACTGTGAAATGATTACTACAGTAAGGTTATTTAACATCTCCATCATCTTGGATAATTACTATTTTTTTTGTGATAAGAACATTTAAGATCTACTCTCTTAGCAACTTTCAAGTATATAAGAGTATTGTTAACTACAGTCACCATGCTATTTTTTAAATCCATTCACCCACTCTATGTCTTTTGATTGAAGAAATTAATTCATTTACATTTAAAGTAATTACTGATAGGTAAGGACTTACCAATGCTATCTTATCAGTTTTTCCCCCCCGCTGTTTTGTAGTTCCCTTGTTATTTTCTTCTTCTCTTGCTGTCTTCCTTTGTGAATTGATGACTTTTCCATAGTGGTATGCTTTGATTCCCTCCTGTTTGTGTATCTACTGTAGGTTTTTGCTTTGTGATTACCATGAGGCTTACATAAAATACCTTATAGATACAATAGTCTATTTTAGGCTGATAACTTCAATTGCATACAAAAACTCTACCCTTTTACTTCTCTACTGACATTTTACATTTCTGATGTCACAATTTACCTCTTTTTATACTACGTAGCCATTAGCAAATAATTGTAGCTATGGTTTTTAATACTTTTGTCCTTTAACCTTTAAACTAGAGCTATTAACATACCACCATATTACAGTATCCGAGTATTCTGAATTTGACTATATACTTAACTTTACTAGTGTGTTGCATATTTTTATGTTTTCTTGTTACTAATTAGCATCTTTTCGTTTCAACTTGAAGAACTCCTCTCAGCATTTCTTGTAAGGCAGCTCTAGTGTGATGAACTCCTTCAGCTTTTGTTTGTTTGGGAAAGGCTTTATCTCTCCTTCACTTCTGAAGGACAACTTTGCCATGTAAAGTATTCCTGGCTGGCTGTTTTTTCCTTTTACCACTTTGAATACATTATTCTACTCTCCCCTGGCCTGCAAGGCTTCTGCTGAGAAACCCACTGTTAACCTTTGTCCTTTGTATGGGAGGAATTTTTTTCTCTTGCTGCTTTTAAAACTTTCCTTTGTCTTTGATTCCAGATAGTTTTATTACAACGTGTCTTGGTGAAGACAGTTTTGGGTTGAAATTTGGGGGGGACCTATGAGCTTCATGATCTTGGATATCCAAATCTCTCTCTAGATTTGAGAAGTTCTCAGCCATTATTTCTTTAAACAAGCTTTCTGCCCTGTTCTCCCTCTTTTCTCCTTTTGGGATTCCAATAATGTGTAGGCTTTCTTCACTCTCTCCCTCTTTGTCCTTGGTTCTCCCGACTGGATAATTTCAAATGACCTGTCTTTTACTTCACAGATTCTTTCTTCTGCTTGATCCAGTCTGTTCCTGATGCTCTCTCTTGCATTTTTTTCATTTCATTCATTGTATTCTCTAGCTCCAGAATTTCTGTTTGGTTATTTTTATGATTTCTAGCTCTCTATTAAACGTCTCATTTTCCTCTTGTATTGTTTTCCTTATTTTGTTGAAGTGTCTTTCTGTGTTTCTTGTAGCTCACTGAGCTTCTTTCAAACAACTACTTTGAATTATTTTCAGGCAAATCTCAGATCTCCATTTCTTTGGGATCAGTTACTGAAAAACTACTGTGTTCCTTTGGTAGTGTCAGGTTTCCTTGATTTTTCATGCCTCTTGGAATCCTGCATTGCTGTCTTTGCATTTAAGGAAGCAGTCACCTCCTCTAGTCTTAATTGACTGGCTTTTGAAAAGAAATATCTTCTGTCAGGACTGCTAGTGATTCTGAAGCTTTTCTATGGGTACACCTGCTCCACACTTCTTGTTCTCTCTTGGGGGAGAATTCTTAAGATTTTATGTCTTCTCTCAATCCCGCAAAGCCAGGTCAAGTGCTGACCACTTCCTGTTTACTTGCTTCCCCCAGGGCAGTGCTGAATGCTCAAGTTTGTGTGTTTTCTCTGAATCCCACAGAGTCAGGCTGACTTTCTGTGCATGCTCACTAGCTTTCTGCAAAGGCTCACTCTTGCCACCATCAGCAGTGCTCCAAGGGAGCTGGCCACAGGTTGGAGGTTTATGTGGCTGAGGTGTGTGGAATGCTGGGGTGCCCGTGGGCCAGTTGGGGGGATCTGCAGGTGAGGAGGCCCCAGTGGCTCACTGACAGGCTTCCTAATAGTCTGTGAAGCAGTTAGACCCATATTCCTTTGATGCCACCTAAGAGCCCTGGCTGCTATTCTGTCAGCCACCTCCTGTCTCCCAGTCATGCAGCACACCTCAGTATTCTGGATGTGAGAAAGACGTAGGTCTTTTTGGCAGCACCCTTCACAGTCGGAGGAGCTTGGTGCCTACTCACTTGCTCTCACTTTGCCCCATGGGAGAATCTCAGGCTGAGAAGGTCTCTCTTGCCACCTTGGGGGAGGGGTGATTCAGGTAAAGTGAAACTGTTCCTCTTACCCTCTTCAATGCATCCAATCTTGGATATTTTTTTTTGCTCTAACAGTTTGCTAGAATTTCTCCACTGGACTCCTGGACTTCCACAAAGGTCCTCCTGTCTGTAGGTGATTGTCTAAATTGGCGTTATTTGGGTGGAAGACAGGAGAAAATTCTTATTCTGTCATGTTGATGACGTCACTCCATACACCCCCATGGACATGCATCCTGGTCTGTCTTGTCTTTGTTCTCCTCTCTCAGCTGGGCACTGACACATCTTTGTCCCCTTATCTCCCACATACATTTTAGAATCAGCTTGTCAAGTTTCTCAAAAAATCTTCTTTGGATTTTGTTTGGAATTGCATTTCATGCACAGACCAATATTGAGAGAACTAACATTTTTAGGATATTGTCTTCCAATCATTAACATAGTTGTTGTCTTCATTTATTTAGGTCTTATTTTTAAATAACATTTTAAAATGTTTTCTATAAAAGCCTTAAGAGGTGAACTCTTGAGCAAGGTGAAGCGTGAAACCGTAGGCAGTTACTGGTGTCTGTTTACCCAAGGCACAATAACACTATTTCAGGCATTTCACAGTATTTAGGGAAGTCAGTACAAAGATCAAAAGACTCAGAAGTTCAACTTGTCCTCCAGGATGTTTTTATGTACATATGCAATATTTGTAAGCAAAAACACTGTAAAGAATAGAGTAACTGATAATGGACACTCACCCCAGCTTTAATGTAAATAGGAGAAAATATCCAACCAAGAACACAGAGAAAAAGTGGAGCCTGAAATCAAGAAGAACAACAATTACATCAGGGTCCCATCTAGCCCAAGCTCTTAAATGAGATGCAAGCTCAGTTACTATCTGTTTTGAGCTGAACAAATGTATCACTCCTGGGGACCTTACAAATAACAGTCCAAGCAGACACCCTCCAGTACAACCTAACTTAGAGGCACTTGATCTTTGCTAATAAAAAGGTGTATTCTTAATTTTGGGGGATTAACTGAGCCAATTTTTAAGGTATTTGTTTTTAACTTATTGTTTGCCTACTTCCAGGTAGGAGTGAAGGTCTCTTATAATTAAATATAAAAGACAGCGAAAAAAAGAGAAAAATTAGAAACCATTCCGAGAAATGGGAGAGAAACTACACCAAAATTTCACACAAGTTAATGAAATTAAGTAATAAACTTGGCTCTGGCTTTCTTTACAACAAAGGGGTAGGTAAGTTGAATATAGGAAGGAGATGCTAGTAAATTCTGAGAGGTAAATGATGGTATAGACCAGGGCTGCTTCTTAGATTTGGAAGTGACTCTGCTAGAAGTATCCTTTATTTTTGTAGTCTATATGAAGAAAAATGAGGCTCAGAAAGTAGGGAGCTTCCTGATTTATCCAAAAATAAGCCAGATGGTTTATATAGAGATAGGTTAATTAACCCAAGACCTATAAATACACTTATAATTTAGGTGAACAAATTTTATGTCCTATAACAAATATACTCCACAGATTAAATAAATAATCCATTTCATAAGTTTTATAGTTGAGACCTAGTATTCCTAGAAGACCAATTAGGAGTTTTGTAGTAACTAGTTGAACATCTCAAAAAGCTCAGTTGAGCCCCATCTCAATATATATTGCAAATATATATACACAAATATATACACGCGTACACATACACACATATACACACACATACATATATATATATATCTGTATGTCTATATATTCACACATACACATACACAGAAATGCATATAAATATATATATATTAGTATGATCTTTTCCCTACCTGACCAGCCTCCTAACAGTTCTTTGTTCACTGTATTCCTGTGGTCCTTGAAATGCAAACATTCTCTATCTCTTCATTAATTTACTAAGGATGAAAACTAGCACAATCTTTCCGAGAGATCAAAAAGTTAGTTCCTTTCTTGCATGACTTCTCAAGAAGTCTTTAATATTTACTCAAGCTTGAAAGTAAGTTTTTATGTTTATGAATTTGATTTGGACAGTGATAAAGGTGAAGGTTAGCTGCTGCAAAAGGTATTACTTACATTCCACTCAAAGGCCCCAACAGCAATCCCCGACGTGGCTCCTTTCCTAGCCAGGCTCATTAAGCGGCCACTGCCCATATTTGCGGCAAAAAGAGAAGCCCCTAGCTGAAAATCAAAAGCCAATTACACACCAGAACTCTTAGTCCAACTCCAAGAATTAATTTTCACAAGTGTAAACTCAAATCAACTTTTAAATTTTCTCAAAAGCGATTATTCCCTGCACAGAATTCTCATTTGTGCTTCTTCTGTATGAACTCTAACCATAAATTATAAGACAAAAAGAGGGAGAAAGTGAAAAAAAGTAGGACAGCCATTCCCATGTTGTTGGCCTCCACATGCTCCACTGACTTACTTGCAATTCCCTAATGCAGAAATATTGGCAGGAATGTAATTTCATCATTTGAAATACGTTAAAAATATTAACATCTGATTATCTATAAGGGATTGGTTAAAATACCAAGGTACATGAGTAATATGATGAAATACAATGCAGCATACAGAAAGAATAAAGGAGCTCTAGTAAGTGATAAAAAGAAGGTAAACAATATGTATAATATAATCTCATTGAAATTTTACGTGTGCCTGTTACACTTGTGCCCATATGTTTATATATACATGCGAGTGATTCTGGCAGTATATACTTCTGGGGACTGGAATTACGGTTACAGAGATGGAATGGGGAGAACATTTCAAGTTCTATACTTCGACTGTAATTTTTTTTTTTTTTACAACCAACATCTGTTACTTTCAAAATAAAAAATCCCAGAGGCATTTAAAATGAACAAATCCCTCCTAAACCAATAATAGCTTTTTAACTGTGTAGAGACAGCCACTCCACCCAAAATCAAAATCCAACTATTATGCTGTTGACATAAGACACACTTAAAACCAAATTAACAAGAGAGGCTAAAAATAACAAAGCCTTTCAGGTAAAAACAAACAAAACCCAGCATTGACAATATTAACATAAGATAGAGTAGCATTCAAGATGAAAAGCATTAAACAAGACAGAGTTTTTTTTTAATAACTATAAAAGGTAAAATGCACTAATATTGACATAGTTGAGAGCACACACGCACCAACATCTTAGCAGTGACAAATATAAGGGGAAAAAAATTTTAGAAGAGGCACATAAGTACTCAAGTAACAGCAATTATTTTCACTATTAGGAATGTTTGCTATATTTATCATAATAATGAAATATTATATACAGTCTAAATTACCCAATAATATGGTACATAAATGGTGGAATGTCCATATGATATAATACTATGCAACTGCATATAAATATAAAATATCTATATCTACTTATCCATGTTTATATAGACCTAGGAAGACATTGGTACATTATTAAACAAAAAGGTAGGTTAAAAAGTTACTGCTCATTAATTCAATAAGTATTAATAAATGCCCATTACCAAGTATGTGCCAGTCACTGTTCTGGCATTAGGGATATATTAGTGAGTGAAACAGACAAAAATCCCTGCCCGCATGAAGCTAACATTCTTTTGGGAAGAAGAGAATAAATAAAATAAATTAAAGGATTATTTTATAGCTTCATAGACAGTGATAAGTACTACAGAGAAAAAGAAAGGAGGAAAAGTAGATAGTATGTGCTGAGCAACTGAGAGGTCAGAGAAGACTGAGAAGAGAGCTGAGGAATACAAGAGGTGAGGGAGCAAGCCATGGGCATCCCTGAGGAGAGTGCTCCAGTTGGAGGGAGCAGCAGGGGCAAAGGCCCTGGGGCAGAAGCACAGCTGGATTGTTCAAGGACACTGCCTAGAGCTGGGGACAGGTGTCCTGAGAGGCCCAGTCAGAGAGATAAGGAGGTACAGATCACCTGTGGCCTAATATAGGCCATTATAAGCAGCTGGGCTTTCGTTTTGGGTGACATGGGAGCCCCCAGAGGGTTTTAAGCAGAAAAGTGACATGGTCCGACTTGAGTTTTAATAGGCTCCCTTTAGCCGCTTTGTTGAGACTGGATATAGAGCAGCAAAGGCAGAAGGAGGGAGCCCAGAACAGAGGCTGTTATAAATAATCCAGGTGAGAGATGATGGCAGCATGGGCCTGGAGGCAGAGTTGATGAGAAGTGGTCAGATTCCAAATATATTTTTTAGACCGAGCCACAGGATTTCCTGATGGACTGGATGCTGAGTGGAAGAGACAATAAAGAGTCTAACATGACTCCATGGTTGTCAACCTGAGCAACCAGAAGGATGGAGCTGCTCTTCAGGAGACGGGGAAGATTGCAGGAGGGGCAGCTTTGCAGAGAAAGTCCAGAGCTCTCCTCTGGACTCGTTCAGTTCGAGATTCCTGACCTCTCAAGCACAGGCATCAAACAGGCAGTAGACATACCAGTCCAGAGTCCAGGGAGACAGCTGGGATTCGTTAGCACATAACTGGTATTTAATGCCATGAGACTAGATGAGGTTGCCAAGTTTGTGGGTGTAACTGGAGAGGAGAGGTCAGGCGCTAGCCCTGGGGAGCTCCAGCATTAGGAAGCCAGGGACATGGGGGAGAACTGGCCAGGGAGACTGTGCATGAGCGGCTGGTGAGCAGCAAGAAAGGAAAGCCAGGCGATGAAATGGGGAGGGAAGGAGGATTGAGAGTTTCAGAGTTTCACCACTGCCAAGCCAGGTAAGAGGAGGACTGAGAACTGACCATAGGAATAAGCCAGGTACAACAAAAAAGAAAGAAAGAAGGAAAGACAAGAACACGCCTCTGGTGGGCCCTGCTAACAAGAGGAATTGAGACCCATCAGGTGTCTGCTGATTGAATTAAAATACAAAAGAAAAAAGAAAGTTGGAGCGGCAAAATTATTCTTCCATTATAATTGCCTTTAATAATACCATAATATATTTTGTTCATTAAGCAATAATCTCGATAATGAAAAAGAAGTCATAGTAAAGAAATTAATAAATCATAACATATACAAACATCGGAAGGTCAAAGCATGTTAATGTCTTCTGAAAATCACTACAAGTGTCACAGTTATACAATGGAACGTGAGCAGCAGACTACCATTTTTCTGGGTACAGAAAACATGACTTCAAGGCCAAGCGTGGCTCAGGCAAAAGACTGGGGGCCTCCCAGCCCAGGCAGAGATCGTGCCACTAGAATCCTTTGCCGAAAAATAAACTAAGGTAGGTGGCCCACTGCAAATATTTCTTTGCCACATTCAATGTGTTTCTAAACCAGGTTTACAAAAAAAGAAGATTCAAATATAATTCAGAGATTTGACACCAGGAAAATCTTCTCCCCAAATCTCCCAGCTAAGCAAGGCAAAGCCATCTCTGTCAGGTTGTTGGATCCGCCACTTGAGTGCACTTCCCTCTTCCCTTTGAATAAAGGCACCTCCTCCTCCCCAGACAAGACTTCTCTCTATGAAGCATCACCCCAATGTGGAAAACCAAATCCTTGCCATAAGACTGATTAACATTTGAGGACAAAGAAAACATTAGTGAACAAGGGCCTGCTTCTTGCACAATTCTCTAAGTGTACCTTACATTCCTGTGTGCGAAAGGTATGTATATGTTTACACAGTAAGTTACAAAGCTGCCCTGGCTCAGGCTTGGCTCGGGTCCTTAGACTCTGGGCCCTGCTGGGACCACACATCCTCCTCCTCCCTGGGGCACCTCCACTCACCCCATCATGGATACTAGGCCATGGAGGGGCAGCTGCCTCCACTGCTGTGGAGGTTTTGAGGCATTCCTCTTGGACAGAATCACTTTGTACAATGAATAATTATTTAACATATAAACAACAAAAATGTTTCTAGCCCTTCTACCCCACCTCCCTCCATCCAGCATCAAGCGGTTCCACACCTCCATGCTTTGGCATATGCTGTTCCCTCTTCCCGGAATGCCCTCACACTCTACCTGGCAAACACTTACTCCATCTCCAAATCCTGCTCAAACAACCCCACTGTGAGCCCTTTCCTGTCTTACTACACTACGTACCCAGCAAGCCTCAGTTTGCCTTTCATCCATACCTGGCCCATGCGCCTCCTAAGAGACTTACTGTACGTACTGCACTGTAATTTGCTGGATACACGTCTAACTTCCAATCTAGATTGTGCACTTCCAGAGGGCAGGACTGTCTATTTGCTACCTACACCCTGGAACCTGGAATGATGCCTTGTACATACCAGGCACCTAATAAATGGCTACTGAACTAAACTGAGTTAAATGGAGACATTTAGCTAAGAAACTACTTAAGACTTAAGGAACTACTAAGGAAACGACTTTACTGAGTCAACAACTTCAAATTATTTGGGGTATAAGACATCTAAATTAAAGTAATAAACAAGTTAACAGGCAGCCCCTAAAGTGGACTGTCACAGGCAAGACTTACTCACCGGCAACCATGCTAGCTTTCGGCCAGTCAGGAAGAAGTCTTCTACTGTCCCACGACCGCTTGACACTAGAGCCTTCAAACACACAGACAACAACAAAACAATGTAATACAAGCAACCAAACTGCTCTAAAGACACAGGTCTCTCAAACGATGACCTTCACTTATGGGTAAATGTCTTTAGTAGAGATCCCCAAATCCATTCGCAGCTTCTTTCTCTTTAGGAAGAGAAGTGTTGACCCTCTGAGTTGGAGGAGGGCTCACAGCTGCCTCGTTGGAGGCTCCAGTCTCCTCCAGCTATGAGACTGCACGAGCATATCCACTTCTCTACACTCTTGTGAAAATAATACTGCTTTATTTTTTTTCCAAGTAGTTAACCAGTGCCATAGTTTCTGGCACAGTCTGGGAGATCAATGGTTTCGTGAATGTATGGATCAATCAGGAATGGCAAATCTGAACATGTGCTTAGCTTGTTCCAGGAGTGCAGCCAGGGTGCCACCACTATGGTGTCCTTCTAACACAGCCGAGTCCTCTCTACTCAGGGTCCCAGCTCTGATTACCAGACTCTGGTGTGCTCAAGAGACAATACTGGGGATTTCCTGGGTTGCTTAGGACTAGCATGACCCAAAGATGAGAGTTAGTTGACAGAAATGTGTTTCTGTGGGAAGAGTGAACTTACCGCTGCCATTTGAGGTATCTGTGTTATAATGGGGTCCCCTCACATCATAAAGCCTTAAACCAAAGAAACAACTCTCTAAATCAGACATGTTAAGTTAGTCTCATTTCATTCATTCATTAAATATTTATCAAGGGCCTGCTATGTGCAGAGCCCACCTTTCTAAGTAAAGTATCAGTGATATGAAGGTAGAGTGCATGAGAACTTTTAAAAGGAATGTACAAACTGTTCTAAGATGAATAAAATCATCCTCTCTTTCTATTAAAGAAAGAACCAGGCGAGAAGAGGAGGAGATCCCAGGAAGAAGGTGGCTTAAGCACACGTCCTTGCCTCTTCCTTCTTCTTTGCTCTCCTTCTGGAATAATACAACCACTATGGCAGCCAGGGTGGTGGGGCAGAGGATGCATCCAACACTTTCTCCAAGATCTCTGGGCTGAGACTCATAACAGAGAAAACAAACAATAAAAAGTGCAAGTTTTTCCCCCTTAACATCCTGTGAGAGCCAAGGCACCAGCAACAAAGACTAAGATGTCCCCGTGGGCGCTCAGCAGACAGAAGCTGATGCACGCTTTCAGAAAGGAGGCCCATCTGTGCAACTGCGGGCAAGCGGGTTCAGCAAGGAAAGGGTGGTTGGTTTAATGACTGGAAGAAAACAAAGTTAGATCCTCCATCACATCGTATATGAGTAAATTCAGATGTTCTAGAGATTTAAATATTTTTTAAAAACTTGTAAAATATTAGAAGAAAATATTTGTATAACCCTGCGGTTGGGGGGTACTTTCCTAAATAAGCCAAGAAATCTAGAACATGTAAAGGAAAAGCAAGAGAGTTGACTTCTTCAAAGTGAACAAAATTCAAATGACAAAAAGACACCGCTAGCAGAGTCTAGACCACTAGTTCTCATCCACGGTGATTTCTGCCCTATCCCCAGGGAACATCTGGCAACGTCCGGAGACATTTTTGGTTGTGAATGGGTAAGGATGAGGGATATTTCTAAGCATCCTAGAATGCAGAGGACAGACCCCCACAACAAGGAAGTATCTGGTCTTAAATGTTAGTAGTGCTGAGGTTGAGAAACACTGGCCTAGACATATGATAGTTTGGGGAAAAGATTAGCAATTCAAATGATGGACAAGTTGATAAAAGCAAAGTCAAATAACCCAATTCAAAAATGGGCAAATAAACTGAAGAGGAAATTCAACGGACAGTAAACTCATGAAAAGATGCTCAACCTCACCAGGAGTCCAGGGAGTGTAAACCAAAGCTACAATGAGATACCCCTCTTCACCCGTCAGCCTGGCAAACAACAACAGAAACCTAGTACGGCTGGTAAGGGAAGGGCTGGGGGAAAAGAGCACGCCCATACGCTGCTTATGAGAAATGTAAATCTCAGCCAGCCTTGGGGATTGCCGTTTAGAAATATCTACTAAAATCTCAAGTAAATACACCCTTCTGACCCAGCGATTCCAACTTCAGCAATCCATGCCACACAGATTCAAAGCACCAACACATTAAAAAACCTCCCAAACCCAACAACCTGGCAACAATCTGAGTGTCAATTAGTGGGGAAGAGATGAATAGTACACATTTGTATGATTATTATGCAGCTAATAAAAACATGGGCTAGATCTCGATCTAGTGACCTGCAGGACTCTCCATCACTTAGCAAACAAAAAAAGCAACCTGCAGAGTAATGTGTATGATATGATCACATTTTTTGTAAAGACAAAACACAAAAACTCTACATATATGTCTGTATGTTTGCATAAGCACCAAGAAAGGAGAGGAAGGACACACAGCCCATGGTTACCTCAGAGAGACGGAAAAGGATGGGGGGAGAAGAGTAAACTTATTCTCTAAATATTTATGCATCTTTTCACTTCTTACAGTGAGCATGTAAAACTTTCATAATTAAAAACAATATATGACTTTTTAAAAGAACCAGTGGAAAGATGATAATATAAAGAAGGAAAATATCAAAGCATTCTGGAGAACCGTGCATGTTTTAAGGTTCCCAGAAGAACAGAAAGAACAGAGGTTGCCTTTGGAAGTGGCCAGACGGCTTACTAGTCCTCTGACCTTGGCCAGACTTAGGCTCCAACCGGGCCTGGAAGAAAGCTGCGTGGGGGCTTCCTAATAACAGCACTGGGGGAAGGATCCCTAAACAAGGACTCACTACCCAGAGCCCCTGCCTGGGCCACCTACAAGAAGGTTTCTCATAACTGAGACCAATTTAAAAAACCAGAGGTTTGAATGATCTGGATAAATACCTCAGATTTCTCCTTTACATTTGGAATAAAGGGCCTGTATTTTCTCTTCTGGTACAAAATTCTCTCAATGAGATGGACTGATGTCTCCATTACTCTACCTGCCCACTAGTAGCCTAATGATTCACTGTAAGCCCTCAAAAGTGTGTCCAATGATCGTACTTGGAAGGGCCAGATTCTGCACAGTAAGATCCTGCTGGTGACCTGGTGAAGCACCCCAAGGTAAAGGTCATATGGGCATGAAAGTTTCAGCTGGGTGGGGGTTGTCCAGTATGAAACCTCTCCCACTGGTCAGCAGATGGTGGCACTGTTGCCAGATAGTGCTTGATGAGGCAGGCCAGGCAGAAGCCTCCGACAGTTAACAGCTTAGCCCAGGGGGGATGCCATGACAGCAGCCGAAGCCTTCATACTCACCTGATCTCTCACTGCAAGACAGGCAGGCTCCTTCCAGGCAGAGTCTGGCCCTGGGTGGCATGTTTAAGAGACACCTTTTTGAGTACTTACATGCTAAGCTCTAGCGGGCGGATGGCAGTAAAGGAGACACAGTCTCCACCCTACTAAGAGAACCTCATACCAGAAAAGAAAATAGAAGCCTTTTATTCAAATTTAACGGAATGCTTAGAGCCCTAAGTTACATGTGAACATTGAAGTCTGGCTAGCAAGGCAAAGTGCTTAAGCTCAGGAGTCAGCTGAGGCAGCTTTAGGCTGCCATCTGAACCCCATCACTCCCTGGCTGTTACTTAACCTCTGAGCCTCAGTGCCTTCACCTGTGAAACTGGAGAAGCAATAGCATTTTGTTCACAGCATGGCTGTGAGGATGCCATGCACTTAGAGCGCTCAGCACACACCTGGCACTCCGGCGCCTAATCATCGGTAGTTGTCATTATTAGCACCACATCATGGTGATCACAACGACTCTTTATTACATACTGCTTCGGTTCAAGGCAGCGGCGCAGGGGGATCTGACCTGCTCCTTCATTTGGGGGCGGGGAGGGGACGTGGGGCTGGCCCAGCATGGCTCCGCTGCCGAGGGCGCGCACTTACTCTTGCCTGGAAGGGTGGGGAGTAACCAGGCGACGGGAGGGTGGGGAGGTCTCTGCACAGGCAGGGGCGGGATGAGAGGGTGCTGGGGGTGGGGAGCAGCAAGGTGGGGACAGGGTGACAAGCAGGGAGGGTCGAACCAAGCGTGGTGTCCGGGTCCTGTCCTCCCCTCCGGGCCCCACGTACCCTCAGCCCGACGCCCAAGACCAGCAGGAGGTACAAAACCAGCACTAGGATGTCCAGGACACTGTCGACGCCAGAGCCCAAGACACTCCAGTTCGAGGCGACACTGTGCCAAAGAAAGCTCATGGCGGCGCTTGCGCCAGGCCGGCAACGCGAACGTCCGAGGAGGCCCCAACGCCTTTGGCTGCGATTCGGCCTTGGGCTTCGGCTCCGCCGCCGCAGGGCATCCCGGGAAGGGCCGCGGTGCAGCCTGGGAGTTCCCGGCAGGCCCCGCGGCCCAGCGCGGCCTAATTCCCGCGAGGTCACGAAGACCTGCTTCCTCACGCTCCATTTAGCGAGAAAGCGGAAAGCCGCTTTCCCTGCCAGTCCGGGCGCAAGGCTCTCCCTATGATGGCTGCGCTCGCTTTCTCCTGCACTGAGAGTTGGCGGGCGGGTGGGGCTAGCGTGGGGCCACCGAGGCGGGATGGGTAAAGGTGTGTCTTGGAGCCATGTTGGAGCCTGGGGCAAAAGGAGAAGCTGGTCATACTGTTCCTGTCGTTATTTACAATTTTGATACTGTGTTCAGTGTGCACTTGGGGCGTTAATTTGGATTTATTAGAATATTATTTACCCTGAGTCCTGAATCTTTTGGTAATCCCTTAAATTTTGACCAAGGAAAGTGCCTCATTGGCCTCACCCTCATCATGACTTTGATGCACCACCTGATCCCCGAGGGTCCTCAGCTTTTTGCCCTTGGATCTTTTACTGGTGATGTGCGAATTTTCAATCTAGGCTGAGTGTTACTCTTCTTGGTGTCTTTGTCTGCTAAATTGTATTTTTAGACATGTTGGTCAATAATAGTAATAACCGTAATAATAATACTTAACGCTTCTTTAGCTCTTGCCAGGTGTCAGCCGCCTCCTGTGCGCTTTGCAAGTACTAACCCACTTGATTCTCACGATAACCAATCAGTCTGAGTGTGTGACCACAAGGGCACGGAGGCTTGTCCTTGTAGCCAGGCAGAAGTCTCTGGTTTCAGCTCCAGAGCAGAATTCTGTAGTCCTGCTTTGGTTCAGTGCTGTCCAAAAGAAGTATAATGTGAATAATGGATGTTATTTTATTTTTTCCAGCTTTACTGAGAGATGGTTGACAAAAATTGTAAATACTTAAGGTGTACAACGTGATGTTTTGGTATATGTACACATTGTGAAGTAATTACAATAAGCAAGCTAATTGATATGTCAGTTCTCTCAGTTACCATTTTGTGTGTGTGGTGAGAAAACTTGAGATCTATTCTCTTAGCCAATTTCCAGTACACAATACATTATTATTAATTATAGTCACTATTCTGTACATTAGGTCTCTAGAACTTACTCCTCTGTAACTGAAAGTTTGTACCCTTTGCTTAATATCTCCCTTTTTCTCCAACCACCTAGCTTCTGGTAACCACCATTCTACTCTCTGTTACTATGAGTTGAACTTTTTTTTTTTTTTTTTAAGATTTCATGTATCAGTGAGATCATGTGATATTTGTTTTTCTGTGTCTGGTTTATTTCACTTAGCATGATGTCCTCCACATTCATTCGTTATTAAAAATGGCAGGATTTCCTTCTTTTTCAAGGCCTAATGATATTCTTTTGTGTGTGTTATGTATGTGTGTGTATATATGTACACATATTTTCTTCATCTATCCATCTATCCATGGACACTTAGATTGTTTCCGTGTCTTGGCTATGTAAATAATGCTGCAGCGAACGTGGGAATGCAGATATCTCTTTGAGATGGTGATTTTGTTTCCTTTGGATACATACCTAGAAGTGGGATTGCTGGATCGTATGATAGTTCTATTTGTAATGTTTTGAGAAACTTCCATGCTGTTTTCCATAATGGTTATACCAATTTACATTGCGACCAACAGTGTACCAGTGTTCCCTTGTCTCCACATGCTCGCCAACACTTGTTATCTTTTGACTTTTTGATAATGGCCATCCTAAGGTGTGAGGTGGTATCTCATTGTGGTTTTGATTTGCCCTGATAATTACTGATGTTGAGCATCTTTTCAGATACTTGTTGGCTATTTATATGTCTTCTTTGGAAAAATGTATATTTCAGGCCTTTGCCCAATTTTTAATTGGGTTATTTGTTTTTTTGCTGTTGAGTTGAATGAGTTCCTTATATATTTTGTAGAATTTTATTTATTTATTTTTTTGATGAGGAAGATTGTCCCTGAGCTAACATCCATTGCCAATCTTCCTCTTTTTGCTTGAGGAAGATTGTCTCGAGCTATCATCTGTGCCAGTCTTCCTCTGTTTTGTATGTGGGATGCTGCCACAGCATGGCTTGATGAGCGGTGTGTAGGTCCATGCCTGGGATCTGAACTTGTGAACCCTGAGCTGCCAAAGCAGAGTGCATGGACTTAACCACTATGCCACTGGGCCGGCCCTATATATTTTGGGTATTAACCCCTTATCAGATATGTGGTTTACAAATATTTCTCCCATTCTATAGTTTGCTTTTTTGTTTTGTTGATTGTTTCCTTTGCTGCGTCTCAGAGATATTACTTTAAACTCTCCAGTAGCCACATTAAAAATGGTAAACAGGTGAAATTAATTTAAGTAATATATTTTATTTAACTCAATATGTCCAAAATAGTATCATTTCAATATGTAATTAGTGTAAAAATTGTTGAGCATTTTATATTCTTTTTTTCCACATTAAGTCTTTGAAATCTGGTGTCTATTTTATATTTAGAGCACTTTTCAATTCACACACTAACTTTTCTTCAGAAGTACTTCATCTGTCTTTAGATTTAACAAAATTTACAATTGAAAAAAGATTCACGTACCAAGTTGTTCTAAACATACCTAAAAGCTTTCCAGTAACTGAATATAGTACCAAAATTCCATTTTCCTTTACATCAATTACAAAACTTGTTCGTCTTTTTAGAAGAATTGATTTGACTTTGAAGCAAAAGCATATCAGTGTCAAAATTATGTCTGTCCAAGTTAAGTAATTCACTAACTCTTGTCAACTCAATGTAATTAACATCAAATTCAAGGAGGCATTACATAATTTAAAAGCATTTCTAAATTGATCAATATCATGAAGAATTCTTCAAATTTTTCTTGTAGTTTTTGCTGCCAATTATATAACACAGCCAGTTACAATTAAAATCTTTGGCATATTGACTCATGTTAGGAGAATGTGTAAAATCATTATTATTGATTTGTATTATGAAGTTTCAAATTTAACTTTAAGTAAATTCTTATACTTAGCTAGCTAGGTTACAAATAAACTTTTCTTTGACTCTTCAAATTTAGCTGATTCATGTACAGTACCTATTAGTGAGAAATTTAAGTACAGACTGCCATTTTTTGATCTTTGATTATTAAATATTCAACAAACATTCCTTTTGTTTTGAGAAAATATTGAGTTGCTGTTGACATTACAGGAAATCTTTGTAAACTTTCCAAGACTCAACCAATGAGCACTGGCAAAAGCACAATATCATCAAATTCATTGCCTTCTATTTCTTTCAACAGTTCCCTAAAATAGTGATGATTCATGTTATTTGCACATATATACTGATGGTTTCAACAACTGTGTCTATGCATGATGATTTTCATAAAGTCTGCTATAAAAACTAAGCACAAATAATTTTTTAATGTGCATCACAGAGTGGAATAAAGCAAAAAGGGAAACATCAGTCCCTTGTTTTAAAAATCCCATTAAATCTAGAGTTTTGGCCTAACATAGCTGGAGCACTGCCCAACATGATAAGATTTTTTTTTTCAGATTTTGCCGAACTTCTTTGATAAATGTAAACGGTTAAAAATATGCCACAAGTTTTATCTTTTACGTTATGAATTGTCAGCATTTTTTCATAGGTTTTGGTGTCCTTTGAGGCAAAAAGCATTCAAAATATAATTGGGCAATGTCTCATATCACATGAGTCAACTGAAGCTAGAAAAGGACACTTGCAAATTTTCAGATTTTGAATCTATTCATTTTTGGTGGTCTTGGAAAGGCCTTGAGTTCCAAGGGCAATTGTTTTGAAGTGTAATTGAAAAATCTTTCACTTTTTGTAAAATATCTTTTTTATAGCATTTTTTCATGGTATTCTAACAAATTTCAATAACTGAAATAATTTCTTTTCTCATCTTTCCATCTAAATTGTTTTTCTTTTTGATGCAAGAATCCAAGCAGTTTTAAAGCTAGCCAAAGTTACAAACTAAAATTCTGTTAAAAATCATTGCTTTTTTTGACATTTATTTCTGATTTCAGGCAACTAATAATTTTTTGTTACCATTGAGAAAAAATATTTCTACCAAAGTCACATTTATTATCTTTAATTTTTTTTACACACCCAACAAACAGCTCCAGCAGAACACCATACATAAACATTATGTCGTTTAGATGAGTCAATTCCTTTTTGTTATAAAATGACCCTTTTTGCACCTGGCAGTATTTGCTCTGAAATCTATTTTTATGTTGATATAACCACTTTGGAATTCTTGCAATTAGTGTTAGCATGATGTATCTTTTTCTATCATTTTGTTTTTAACCTATTTGTATCTTTATATTTAAAGTAGATTTCTTTTAGCCCCCATATAGTCAGATCTTGCTTTTTCATTTAATCAGATAATCTCTACTTTTAATTAGCATGTTTAGACTACTTACATTTAATGGGAGTATTGAAGTGGTTGTGTTTAAATATGCCATCGTGCTATTTGTTTTCTGTTGGTCCCATATGTTCTTTTTTGTCCTTCTTTTGAATTAATTGATCTGTGTGTGCGTGTACGTGCATGTACACACTTTCATTTTATCTCCTTTGTTGGCTTCTTAGCTATGACTCTTTGTTGTGTTATTTGAGTATTTCCTATAGAGCTTATAGTACACATCTTTAACTTAACCCGGTGTACCTTCAAGCGATATTATTTCACTTCACATATAGTATAAGAACTTCACAACATGTGCTTCCATTCCTCCCCTCCAGCCTTTGTGATATTGTCATCATACATTGTACATTTGTTATAAATTTTACATTTTAATTGATAAATGCTATTATTTCTCTTTTAAACAGTTTATCATCCTTTAAAGAGATTTAAATAGCAAAAAAAAAAAGGTCTTTGTATTTACCCACATAGTTACCATTTTTGGGGCACGCTCTTCATTCCTCTGTGTAGATCCAGATTTCCATCTTGTGTCATTTTCCTTCTGCTTGAATGACTTCATGTGAGATTGCTTGTAGTGCAAGTCTACTGGTCATACTTTTCAGCTTCTATATGTCTGTAAAATTTTTACTTAGCCTTCTTTTAGAAAGATATTTTTACTAGGGAAAGAATTCTAGGATGACACTTTTTTCTTTTAATCCTTTAAAGATGTTGCTCCACTGTCTTCTTGTTTGCATAGT